GAGTTAACGGCCATTTAACATTTTAACGGGAAACGGCGGGGTCTTTCGATTTGGCTGAAAATTGGTATACAGGGCCTCCTCGATGCGCTCATTCCGAAAATGTACCTCTTTAGGGTGGTATTTTGCACCGTAACAAGTTAACGACCAAATAACATTTTAACGGGAAACGGCGGGGTCTTTCGATTTCGCTGAAAATCGGTATACAGGGCCTCCTCGATGCGCTGATTTCGAAAATGTGCCTCTTTGGGGTGGTATTTTGCACCGTTAACGAGTTAACGAACCGTTAACATTTCAGCAGCATATATCGATTTCAGCAGCAAATTCTTGGGGTCTTTCGATTTGGCTGAAAATCGGTATACAGGGCCTCCTCGATGCGCTGATTCAGAAAATGTACCTCTTTGGGATGGTATTTCACAAAGTTAACGAGTTAACGGCCATTTAACATTTTAACGGGAAACGGCGGGGTCTTTCGATTTGGCTGAAAATCGGTATACAGGGCCTCGTCGATGCGCTTATTCCGAAAATGTACCTCTTTGGGGTGGTATTTTGCACCATTAACGAGTTAACGAACCGTTAACATTTCAGCAGCATATATCGATTTCAGCAGCAAATTTTCGGGGCCTTTCGATTTGGCTGAAAATCGGTATACAGTGCCTCCTCGATGCGCTGATTTAGAAAATGTACCTCTTTAGGGTGGTATTTTGCACCGTTAACGAGTTAACGGCCATTTAACATTTTCACGGGAAACGGCGGGGTCTATCGATTTGGCTGAAAATCGGTATACAGGGCCTCCTCGATGCGCCGATGCCGAAAATTCACCTCTAGGGTGGTATTTTGCACCGTTAACGAGTTAACGAACCGTTAACATTTCAGCAGCATATATCGATTTCAGCAGCAAATTTTCGGGGTCTTTCGATTTGGCTGAAAATCGGTATACAGTGCCTCCTCGATGCGCTGATTCCGAAAATGTACCTTTTTGGGGTGGTATTTTGCACCGTTAACGAGTTAACGGCCATTTAACATTTTAACGGGAAACGGCGGGGTCTATCGATTTGGCTGAAAATCGGTATACAGGGCCTCCTCGATGCGCTGATTCCGAAAATTTACCTCTTTAGGGTGGTATTTTGCGCCGTTAACGAGTTAACGTCCAGTTAACATTTTAACGGGAAAAAGCGGGGTCTTTCGATTTGGCTGAAAATCGGTGTCCAGGGCCTTCTCGATGCGCTGATTCCGAAAATGTACCTCTTTTGGGTGGTATTTTACACCGTTAACGAGTTAACGACCAATTAACATAGACCCCGCCGTTTCCCGTTAAAATATTAACTGGCCGTTAACTCGTTAACGGTGCAAAATACCACCCTAAAGAGGTACATTTTCAAAATCAGCGCATCGAGGAGGCCCTGTATATTGATTTTAAGCCAAATCGAAAGACCCCGCCGTTTCCCGTTAAAATGTTAAATGGCCGTTAACTCATTAACGGTGCAAAATACCACCCCAAAGAGGTACATTTTCGGAATCAGCGCATCGAGGAGGCCCTGTATACCGATTTTCAGCCAAATCGATAGACCCCGCAATTTCCCGTTACAATGTTAACTGGTCGTTAACTCGTTAACGGCGCAAAATACCACCCCAAAAAGGTACATTTTCGGAATCAGCGCATCGAGGAGGCACTGTATACCGATTTTCAGCCAAATCGAAAGACCCCGAAAATTTGCTGCTGAAATCGATATATGCTGCTGAAATGTTAACGGTTCGTTAACTCGTTAACGGTGCAAAATACCACCCTAAAGAGGTAAATTTTCGGAATCAGCGCATCGAGGAGGCCCTGTATACCGATTTTCAGCCAAATCGATAGACCCCGCCGTTTCCCGTTAAAATGTTAAATGGCCGTTAACTCGTTAACGGTGCAAAATACCACCCCAAAGAGGTACATTTTCGGAATCAGCACATCGAGGAGGCACTGTATACCGATTTTCAGCCAAATCGAAAGACCCCGAAAATTTGCTGCTGAAATCGATAAATGCTGCTGAAATGTTAACGTCTCGTTAACTCGTTAACGGTGCAAAATACCACCCTAAAGAGGTGAATTTTCGGCATCGGCGCATCGAGGAGGCCCTGTATACCGATTTTCAGCCAAATCGATAGACCCCGCCGTTTCCCGTTAAAATGTTAAATGGCCGTTAACTCGTTAACGGTGCAAAATACCACCCTAAAGAGGTACATTTTCTAAATCAGCGCATCCAGGAGGCACTGTATACCAATTTTCAGCCAAATCGAAAGACCCCGAAAATTTGCTGCTGAAATCGATATATGCTGCTGAAATGTTAACGGTTCGTTAACTCGTTAATGGTGCAAAATACCACCCCAAAGAGGTACATTTTCGGAATAAGCGCATCGAGGAGGCCCTGTATACCGATTTTCAGCGAAATCGAAAGACCCCGCCGTTTCCCGTTAAAATGTTAAATGGCCGTTAACTCGTTAACGGTGCAAAACACCACCCCAAAGAGGTACATTTTCGGAATCAGCGCATCGAGGAGGCCCTGTATACCGATTTTCAGCCAAATCGATAGACCCCGCCGTTTCCCGTTAAAATGTTAAATGGCCGTTAACTCGTTAACGGTGCAAAATACCACCCGAAAGAGGTGCATTTTCGGAATCAGCGCATCGAGGAGGCACTGTATACCGATTTTCAGCCAAATCGAAAGACCCCGAAAATTTGCTGCTGAAATCGATATATGCTGCTGAAATGTTAACGGTTCGTTAACTCGTTAACGGTGCAAAATACCACCCCAAAGAGGCACATTTTCGAACTCAGCGCATCGAGCAGGCCCTGTATACCGATTTTCAGCGAAATCGAAAGACCGCGCCGTTTCCCGTTCAAATGTTATTTGGTCGTTAACTCGTTAGCGGTGCAAAATACCACCCTAAAGAGGTACATTTTTGTAATCAGCGCATCGAGGAGGCCCAGTATACTGATTTTCAGCCAAATCGAAAGACCCCGCCGTTTCCCGTTAAAATGTTTATTGACCGTTAACTCGTTAACGGTGCAAAATACCACCCCAAAGAGGTACATTTTCGGAATCAGCGCATCTAGAAGGCCCTGTACACCGATTTTCAGCCAAATCGAAAGACCCCGCTGTTTCCCGTTACAATGTTAACTGGCCGTTAACTCGTTAACGGTGCAAAATACCACCCCAAAGAGGTACATTTTCGGAATGAGCGCATCGAGGAGGCCTTGTATACCGATTTTCAGCCAAATCGAAAGACCCCGCCGTTTCCCGTTAAAATGTTAAATGGCCGTTAACTCGTTAACGGTGCAAAATACCACCCCAAAGAGGTACATTTTCGGAATCAGCGCATCGAGGAGGCCCTGTATACCGATTTTCAGCCAACTCGAAAGACCCCGCTGTTTCCCGTTACAATGTTAACTGGCCGTTAACTCGTTAACGGTGCAAAATACCACCCCAAAGAGGTACATTTTCGGAATCAGCGCATCGAGGAGGCCCTGTATACCGATTTTCAGCCAAATCGAAAGACCCCGAAATATGCTGCTGTGAGGCTGATATTCGTTGCTGCTGAATTGATAGACGTTCGCCAAGGGAGGAGAAGTCCCAAATGAAATTACTGTATTTAGGGCCTTGGAAATTACCGCGCCGTAAATGTATGAAATGAAGTGTTCAACTTTAAGACCACTGAAAAAAGTATCCTATTTTACTGTCACGCTTTCAGTCGTATTCCCGCAGCCCATAGTAAACATTATATCAATCTCTATTTCGATGATCTTGCCAATCCAATTCAGTCTTTGGTCTTGATTTGCACGCTTCAAGCTAAAAGTAGTCTGTTGACGTCAAAAAGCCAAAATCAGCAACCTCCCCATGGCAATCATATTGCACCTATTTCGCTGAATATAATGAAAGCAGCGTCATATTAGATTTTATCGGCCGTTGAGAGGTTATTGGCCTTCCATGGTCTCAGTGACCCTGAAAAGACGAATGTACATTTTACTAACTAGGCCCATGGGCCACCGTTCCGCCATTGCCATCCTCAGGGGCTCAGGGCGATCAAATCCTTCTCCTCCATGCCTGATCCTGATATCCTTCCGATCTCTCAAGCGTGTGTTCTTATCGGTGTATCGATGCTTGCCTTTTTCTTGCCGTCCTTTGCTTACCTTTTATGAGGTTAGCTTTCATTAGTTTATGTTTGTCGTCACTTGTCCATGCCGGCGCAGTATCGTAAATTTATACTCGGGATTTCGGGAACATGTTGTTCTTCATCGCGCGATAAGCTCAGCGTGACGAGATTCAGATGGCCTGGAACCGCACCCAGCCCGGCGACACGTCGTGCGCCATTCATCAATGTCCGCACTCCGCACCCATCAATCGGCGCCCGGCGCCGGTGCACTACTGACACGCGCCTGCTTTCCGTCAAATACGCCCCCTAATGCTCTAGACACGTTTCTCGGGCTGCGCCGAACGTTCTTCGATCACGGAACCTGTACGTGATGCTGAGTGACCATGACTAGTGATTCGCCTGTAATATCCGAAGTAGCGCTGACCGATTGGTCAGCGCTACTTTGGAGCTGTCTGTGTGTGTGTCTTCTCTCTATTTTGTGTCATCTGCGAGTGTTTGTCATATTTGTTAAAAACATTCGGCCAATCGTTAGCCGCCATGCAGGGCAGAGGGTCACAGCCCAATGTGAGGGACCAAACCCCCCCCCCCCCTTGCGCACTATGGTGGCCAGCCAGACACTAACGTCTCCCCCTTATTCCTTTCACCTTCCGGCTCTGAAAATGTCTAGTTTGACCGAAAGGGCTTCTCCTTTCAAAACAAACAATCCATGGGCCTACCTTGCATGGCCGTTGTATGACAAAACACCTTGTCACCAACCACAGTGTGATAGTTGCTTATCCATCGGGGCCCGGGACCTGCACTCTCGAGGCTCAGAACTGACAAACAGGCGTGGCCCATGACCAACGCGAGGTGGCTTTAAGACACAGGTCTAAACATGTTAATACCCGTTTATTGCATGATATTACGCAAACATCATATATATTAGTTTCCCCCGTAATATAATACTGATACAAATGTTAATAGCCACATCAGTTATCACAGCCCCGGCGACGATTGGTCCATATAATATAAATTCATCGCTTATTGTCTAGTCTCTAGGCTGGCCTGGTTTCCGGTGTGTGCCGGCTTAGCTCACTTCTCTAGGGGACCGCCGTTGCTGACCCAGTCGTTGAACGAGCCCTGGTACAGCCTGGAGGCATATGGGGCGAGAAGACCGTGTCAGTCAGTGTCCGGAGATGACGAGACCAGTGCAGTGGTTGGTGTCAAAACTGCCAGTTGTCTGCCAGCACCTCGCGTCCAGTACCCCGGGGCCCGGATATGAACGAAAGTCGACGGATATGATCTTTTGCTCACAAAGCTGGCGACACAATTGCAAACAAATATTTCCATCAGCTCCCCCGTGTCTGCATTTACCATGTAGCAATAGGAGCTACAGCACATGACCAAAACCGGTGGGTATCGGGCCACAGCCTAGGAGCGCCACTCCAGGAGGGTGGGGCAGTCGCTGCACACTAACCGAACGTTGCTGAAGCCACTTTCTGTAAGCTGGGTAGCCGCCCTGGCCGCCCGGCCACCACGGTTGCAGTGCACAATGAGCGCGTCGGACTGACTGGGCTGAACGAATCCATACTTGTTCTGGAATTCTTCGGGGGAGAGCTCCATCGCCTCCTTCAGCTCCGTCACTGCACCAGTGAGAATAGGACAGCACGAGTATAGTGCTCTGGGCTTTGGGTAGCTGGGTGGGACGCAAGAATGCGGAGATATTTCTCAAATATCAGTACGGGCAACGCACCACACAAAACCGACCTTGCGGGAGTGCGGAACCGTCTGATAACTCCTTAACTCAGCTGATATATATGATGCTTCAGCTTGTCCACTGATCGACCTGTTCCCGCTAGATGAAGATTAAGGACAAGTACGATCAGTGGAGGCTCAATAAGTCAATAGAGTCACGGCTATATTGCACAAATTGTTACAACCTTAACATGACAAAATACGACCTATTTTTTTTTTTTTTAAGAACGTGATTACGAATGAAAATCACTGCCATCAGTATTCTGGTTGCAAATGCGTGCCACGACTTAAAGCATCCACGCAGGCGCAGCTTACTTGGAACATTGACGGCTTTCGGGAGCTTGCCTTTCTCCTGGAGTTCACCAGGGTTGCGCACGTCTATAACGGTGGCGCTGCCGGTATCCAGGGCCTCCTTGACGGCAGCGAAATCGGCAGCTGCAAGACACACGCATGTTCCAGACTCACAGTCGACGGTACTCGGATCGCAAACGAGAGGCCTGGCAAGATGGCGGGCAGCAGCACCGCGCAACTTGAGAGTTCATGTATGAAGATAATGAAGAAATCACGAGCATATATAAATATATCATCTAAAAATGTCAGCAACTTTGCTGTGGTTCACGGGCACATTAACAGCGATGTTAAACAGCATGAGCAAACCATTGTCATTATAGGCTTCTATGGCCTAATGCTTCGATCAATTGTTGACTGACGACAAACAATGCTGCCACCTTACGACAATACACAAAACACAAAAATTGCCAGCAAGGTAACTTAGGTAACTTACACATTTTGCAGTAGGTATTTATGATTCCAAGCAGAGCCTATTAAAAGGAGTTTTGCATGCCTATAGGCTTGTACTATCTTCCTGTCACCTGAAAAAGGACAAAAAGGTAAGGTCGATGTTCACTATTCAACAAGTATATCAGTCAAACCATAACGAAGGGAAAAAAGCCTGAGTTTTAGCTGCTCAGCTTACCCCCGGAGTCCAACGCTCTACGCTCAAGACTCTAACTGAGATTGTTGAGAAATGTGAAGATCAAGATCCAGGAAGCACTGCGCCATAATTTACGTTTATACCAAAATGTGATGATAAATTTGCATCACAGGTCATTTTAGATTCAGCAAAATGCATAGGTACTGATGTGCACCATTATTCATTTAACCCGCGCCGGGCCGGTGCTCGGCACCAACCGCGCCGGGCCGGTGCTCGGCACCAACCGCGCCGGGCCGGGGAGGGGAGGGGGAGAGGGGTGCCTAAAAGGCCCCGTCTAACTCGGCTCCTGGACCACGTAGCGACACGTGGTAAGCAGCAATCGAAAGAGCGTCAAAAATAATGACGGTATTACTTCAGTCATTTTTAGGCAGTGGCGGCGCCACGAATTTTCGCCAGTGGGGGCAAGCTGGAGGTGACCCGACTGTTGTCTGATACCTCGACCTGCGGAATCCCGGAGCTCCTTGCCCCTAGGTGTTGCCATTCAAAATTATTATAGTTTTCATTTACACTTAACACGCGCACCGACGGGGGGGGGGGGCGGATATCCGCCCCCCTGAGGTTTTTCGCGGATAGCGGGAAAACCGCGGCGCGTAGCGCCGCGAAATTTGGTACGACTATTCTCTAATCAATTTTACACATGGTGTGCAAGTTTGAACCTCCTAACTTTTAAGGTCAGGTCACCAGGTCACTTTGAATGACCCAACCTCAAGTCACTTTTTTGCAACTTTGTCACCGTGCCAGAGCTACAGTAGATGTCGGAGGCCTTTGAAAGTCGCAGGATGTTATAAGGTCATTAGTAGCTACAATTTGTATATCTCGGAATTTTGATGTCGGTGACCTAAGGTCAGGTCAATTTCGCGACCGCCCCATCATAAGTCAATGGGGGGAAAATCAACTCCCTGTTTTTACCACTAAAACGGGTGGGAATGGCCCCATATACCATACATGACTTCATATACGATCAACCTTCACTACCTTGAGGTCTGTTTTGCTGTTGGGCAGCTGTAAGGTCATGTGACGTCATCAAAGGTCACCAAAGGTTTTTTTGCCAATAACTCCGTACAGGAACAAGATACAGCCGCGCGGATGGTCTCATTGTGTTCAGCTCGTCAAGACGCATCGAATGATATACATGATGACCTCGAGATCACGTGACCTGAGGTCAACCTTTGACCTTGACCCTTCGAGGTCAAGATATATATCATTCGATGCGGATTGACGAGAGGATCACGATGATGCCCTTAGTTTGTTCCTATCTTGACTAATTCGAAAGTTATTCGAGAAAAACTCTCCATATCTAGCGCCACCATTTTGACTTTTTCGACCCCTGTGACGTCATCGTTGACCTGACCTGAAAATGACCTTTGTAAAAATTGTAGACCTTGTCCGTGCGTATCCGATGCCGTTTACCGCTTGTCGCTATCTTACTTCGTTCTCGAGATCTCAGGGGGGGGGGCGGTCATTCGCCCCCCCCCCCGTCGCGTCGGTGCGAAGTTGGCGCAGACCCCCGTCGGTGCGCGGGTTAAAATCATAATATAGATTGAACTGGTAAGTGGAACCTGCCACAATCTCGGAAGATAGTGACGCGCGTCATGATCACCCGCGACGGTTTTGATGTTTTCCTGCTGGTAAATGCTCTTTGACAGCTGGTAGGCCCGCTAGCGTGAAATTTAAGAATTACGCGAGGGAAATGGATGTATTGGCTTGTAGCAGACGGTACGGCGATTGCCCGTTCAGTGACGGTAACATCATGACCTGCCACATCTTCAAGGGTAGCCTTCAGCTGCCCTCGTGTGGCTGTGTGAAGCTGTCCAGCGCGACAGGGAGACCATGGGTGGAGAGAGCGGCCATATGGACATCGGTTCGTATGCCAACAAGACTTGCCGCCTGGCTTTCCACATTTATCGCGACCTTGTGGTTCTCTTTTTTATTAGTCCCGTAGTTCGTATGTGCGATTCTTTCACACACGAGTGATAGGTATAACAGAATGAGCTCCATCAGCGTGACCCACATATATCTCCAAATAACCCGATTATACATATCACATTTTGTCATACCTCCCTGAGCTCATGTCAAATGGAGAAATTTATCTGGCATTATCACATCACCACAGCTTTGCATCGGAGTTTTGTATGCCCTGTGTGCCTCATCATATCCTACCCTATCATGAATATTCCACAGGTCTTCTGTTCCCTTGTCAATATCAGCAAAATTTTGTGGGGGCAAAAACATAATTTTGCCCCACGGCCTCCTGTCAGTGGGGGCAGTCTGCCCCAACTGCCCCCACAGTGGCGCCGCCCTTGTTTTTAGGTCAGGTCAAAGGTCAGGCCACCAGAGTCTAGAGGTCATTAAAGGTCAAATTTTGTCGAGTTCAACATTTTTCGAAGCACCCAGACCCAACGCCTAACTCGGGAACCAATGGAGCTACAGCGCCGCGAAAAAGCGCATTCGATAGCCCTTCCAAGTTCCACGAACCTTTTTGGGTATTGTTCTCAGATTCGACATCAGGTCCGCGATTTAGCCTCCACAGAGCAAAAACTAAAAAATAGCCAATTTACGAAAAAGTTTTTCTGCAATTGCTTTTGACTCAAGACAGTGACGACATTCATTTTGCCAGTGCATCGTGTTCCTCTCGTCAAGACGCGTCGAATGAACTATAATTTGACCTTGAAAGGTCATTTTGAAAGCTTAACCTCAGGTCAAGGTCATGACCTGCAAAGGTCATGTTGCATATCAGGCGATCTGTATCGTCGAGCTGAACACATCTGAGGTGTTTTCATCGCTCTAAAATGTCTATCAAAAGTTATCGTCAAAAAAAAAAACTGCTGGGGACCTTTCATGACCACCCTCTCTCTCGGATATAGGATATAGGATATACAACTCGGTGAGCTTAGCATACCCTGCCAGTTTGAACCAAATCGATGAACAAAAGAACCCTAGATTACATTGACAAAATAGCGTATTTTCAGTGCCATTTTGACCATGTACCGGTTTTTGTGACCTTGTGACCTGGGTTGAGGTCACTGGAAAACAGAACTCGTAGGACATGTGTCAAATGGGCAATGGCTGCCACAAGTTGTGAATGAAAGTTGGTGGCCGTGTCTTACGGTTCTTACGCTATTAACGATAAACTCAGCGATTCCTCTGCCGCTAATATAGTCCAATTTTACCCTGACATTGTACCGGTTTTGGTGACCTGGTGACCTGACCTGAAATGACAGAGACCTGAAATTTTCAGGGAAGGTGCCAAAAGGTCGCCCTGGAGGGTATGTCAAATTTGGCGGCGCCGTTTTTACGTTATTCGCGAAAAACCTTAGGGGGGTGCATCAACTCCCCTGGCCTGACAAGGATTAAAGATGTGTCGCAGCCCACATTTCCTATTTGCGCCAAACATGGTCGCAAATAGCTCATGAAGGGAAAGGAATGGGAAAAGAGAGAAGGGAAAATGAGGGGCTGCTGAAGCTTGCAATGTGTGGCGGATGAGGTGATACCAATCATGGGCGTCACCACCACTAGGGACACTAGGGACATTGTCCCTAGAAGTTTTGAAATCATCGAAAACTACTAGGGATTGCCCCTAGAAGTTTTTGGAGTTCCCTCTACTGGGGACACGCAAAGAACCCGGGACATGATAACGGCGCAACTTGCTCAGCTCTCCGAACACATATGTTTTGCCTTGGGAACGGTCGCGTCAACATCGCCACGGTAAATAAAAAGGCCCACGAGCGATGTGCCTCCCTACAGATGTGACGGTACCCTCCAGCCTCCAGGCACGTGCGTGTGGTCGCCGTAAAGCTGGATACGGCAGGCCGGCACTCGTCCGAGAAATTGGTCGAGTTTGTTTCCCAGTCACCCGAGGAGACACCCGAGCCGATTCTGGAGGTGCCCAGCATGATTGCTGAAACGAACTCGGCTGGTTACATACTGGTCCAGCGTATAAACCCGACCGAAGACGATATGCAGCTCCCCGCCGGTTACGAGCTGGGGCAGACTCAGCTGTATGAGGGGCTGGTCACCACAGTGCGCGTGGACCCGGCGGGAGGTCAGGATCAGGGCAGAACTGGGCCGCCGCTCTGGACCGGCCGCTGGTCAAGCCAACATTTCCTAAATCAATTCCCTCTGGAGCATCGGAATGGGGATCGGAGACGGCGGATAGAGGTGGGAGGCATCAGGGCCATGCCCCCGCCCCAGGGAAAATCAGGGATCATCATATAATTTGCCCCCCCCCCAAAAAAAAAAACAAGCGGTGGGGACCCGGCCCTTATTCGATTGTCACGAGGCTCAAGAAACCCACGCCAGCTATTAACAGCTCCATACCGGTCTTCGAGAGTCCTACACTGACCTCTGAGGGCCCTTCCGTGGTGGTCAAGCGCCCGCATTGACCGTGGAGGGCCCGCATTGACCTCTGAGGGCCCTCCGCTGGCCTTTAAGAGCTCCTAAACCGGCCTCAGGGACCCATCCGGCGTCTGAGGGCCTCACATCGGCCTCTGGTGGCATTTCTGTCTCTGGGGTACCAAGACTAACCTATACGTGTCCCTGAGGGCCCTGTACTGGATTTTGAAGACCCGATGCCGGCCTCTAAGGGCCTGCATCGGCCTCTGAGGGCCTATTTTGGCCTTTGGGGCCCTCTGCTGGTCTGTGGAATCTAATACTGGCTTATGCCGGTCTTTTAGGACCCAACACTGACCTCAGATGCCCTAATGCTGGCCTGTAAGGCCCATATTAGCCTCTGAGGGCCCCGCACTGGATTCTGAAGACCCGATGACGGCCTCTAAGGGCCCGCATCGGCCTCTGAGGGCCAATCTTGGCTTTTGAGGGCACTCTGCTGGTCTCTGGGGTCCAACGCTGGCCCATGCCGGTCTTTTAGGACCCAACACTGACCTATGAGGCCCCATGCTGGCCTGTAAGGGCCAATATTAGCCTCGGAGGGTCCCGCACTGGATTCGGAAGATCCGATAACGGCCCTTTGTATGGCCTGCATTGGCCTCTGGGGGGGGGGGGCTATCTTGGGCTCTGAGGGCCCTCTGCTGGCCTCTGGGGTCCAACGCCAGCCCATGCCGGTCTTTTAGGGCCCCACACTCACCCCTGAGTGTTCCATGCCTGCCTGTAAGGACCCACATTAGCCTCTGAGAGCCCAAGTCGGCCTCTGGTGGTCTCAAACTGCCATTAGGCCCTTTACTGGTCTCTGAGGCCGTTAAACTGGTCTCTGAGGGCCCAAACCGACCTCTAAACACACCGACCTCTGATGGCCCAGTTTCTGCCCTGGAGACCCAAGACTGGCCCTTATGTGCCTCTGAGGGCCCGTACTGGCTTCTGAAGGATCGATGCCGGTCTCTGAGGACCCATACCAGTCTTTAAAAGCCCCACACTGACATCTGAGGCCCCACGCTAGCCTCTGCGGGTCCCAAACTGGTCTCTATGGGCCCCAACCAGCCTATGAGGTCACTAAACCGGCCACTGATGGTCCTATTTTGTTCTCTGGGGCCCAAGACTTACCTTTGGGCGTCACGCACTGGCCTCTGAGGGCCCACACCGGCCTCTGGGGCCCCATAGACCCATAGCGGCCATCAAATTACCATAGCGGCCCCAAATTACCTTACCGGCCTCAAAGGCCGGTATGTTAATAATGGGGGCCCTGCAATAATGGGGCTCGGGAGGCACTGGGCCTCCCGAGGGTCGACAGGGCCTCTTTGCCAAGTTGCCCTCCCCCCTCAAACGCCAAGTCTGCGACCGTCCCTGCATGCATAGGCAGAAGGATGTGGGCATGCGTTTCATGATCGAAGAACATGCCTACTACCGCGTAACTTCTTCGTTTTTTCCAACTAAATATTAATTATTCTCCCTCGTTTTTAAATTAGAGTGGCCGAATTCCGCCGAAATCCAACGAGGTACGCAGATTTGGGGGTAGGTGGGTATTGCCGACCAGACTCAAGCAAAGGTTTGTGGCGACGCCCTGGAAAAGTGTCCCTAGAAGTTCTGAAACCGTGGTGACGCCACTGATACCAATTGTCATGGCAGATTGCAGGGTTGCCGAATCCAGCGTAGGCCTCGAATACAATACGGGATAACCTCCAAAAAATGGGTTTTTGCCTTATTCTCGCCTTCGGTGAAATACGTGATCAGCTACCACAAACATAAACGTGCTGGCTAAATGCTACTGTTCCAGTGATTAAGTGCTTTGCGTATATGTTATATTTAACCCGCGCCGGGCCGGTACTCCGTGACTTCCGCGCCGGGTCGGGGGTGTCTGAACTCCCCCTCCCCCCCCCCCCCCGTCTAACTCGGTTCATGGGCCACGTAGCGACACGGGGTAAGCGGCATTCGAAAGAGCGTCAAAAATAAGGACGGAAACACTTCAGTCATGTTTTGGCCGGGTCAGGTAAAAGGTCAGGTTGCCAGAGGTCATCAAAGGTCAAATTTAGTCCATTTCAACACTTTTGGAAACTGCCAAAGGCTAACCCGGAAACCAAAAGAGCTACAGCGCCGCGGAAAAACGCATTCGATAGCCCTTTTACAGACCTTTCTGACTTTTGATCTCAGATTTGACCTCAGGTCAACGGTTTAGCCTCCAGGGGGCAAAAACTAAAAGAAGCAGTTTTCACGGAAAATGTTTTTCGGCAATAACTTTTGACTCAAGAGAGCCATGCCATTACTTTTGCCAGCATCGTGTTCTTCTCGTCGAGACGCGTCGAATGAACTATCAATTGACCTTAAAAGGTTTGAAAATTTGACCTCGGGTCAAGGTCATACATGACCTGACTGGAAACGGTCATGTTGCATATCAGTCAGTCGAACCGTATCGTCAACATGAACACATCTGACATGTTTTCAGCGCTCTAGCACGTCTCTATCAAAGGTTACAGTAAAAAAAAACTGCTGGTGACCTTTCATGACCCAAGATGACCTCAGGGGCACACAGAAGGGTCACAGGTGTAATCTTCCGATTCAGTGTGTGATGTTTACCTTAACCTAAAAACAAATGGTTGAGAAGGTTTAGAACGACATTCGTCCAAAAGAGGCGCATTACAATTTTCTCCCATTGACTTAGGATGGGAGGTCGCAAAATTTGGTCTAAATTGGTAGCGGCTGGAGGTGATGGAAGAGTGAAGTGCGGCGGTAGAGTCCGGGGAACCCACTGATGTTGCATACCTGGACTTTTCCACGGCCTTTGATTCTGTCCCGCACCAACGTCACCTCACACAACTGTATGGCTATGATATCAGGGGAAAATTGCTGGACTGGATCGCCGCCTTCCTGCTCGATCGCCGACAGAGGGTGGTCATCGGAGGTGCGAAGTCCGACTGGACTCCGGTGACCAGCCGTATCCCCCAGGGATCTGTGCTCGGGCCAATTCTATTTAACATATTTGTAAACGACATGCCCGGTCACGTCTCCGGCCGCATTAAGCTGCTCGCCGACGACACCAAACTGTACCGCCACGTGACTGAGGACCCTGCCGAGTTCCAGGCCGACATCGACGCCCTCGTCCGCTGGTCGAGCGAGTGGCTGCTGCCCTTCAATGCCTCCAAATGCAAAGTGATGCACATCGGCAGACACAACCCAAGGAGAACCTACCGCCTGAACGACTCTGTCATCGAAGAAGTTACGGAGGAAAAGGACTTGGGCATCATCATCGACGAGGACCTGAAATTCCACCAGCAAACAGCGGCTGCCATCGCGAAAGCCTCCAAGATGCTGGCTGTGGTGAAGCGCTCCTTCGCTACCATCAATGAGGTCACCCTCCCCCTGCTCTACAAGTCCATGGTCCGTCCTTTTATGGAGTATGGGAACTTGATCTGGGGTCCCCTCGGCAGAGTAGACCTGGCGAGACTGGAACGAACCTACAGCGCAGGGCCACTCGGATGGTTCCGTCCATTCGGCATCTACCGTACCCGGACCATGGATAACTAACAGTAATTCATGCCCGGACCGAATGCGTCACCTCCGCCTCCCTTCACCGTATTACCGACCACGCAGAGGCGACATGATCACCGTCTTCTAGCTGCTGCACGGCGGGATGGCAGTTGAGTCCGATCAGTTCCTGCACAAGAGCACCTCAAACCAAACAAGAGGCCACCAGTGCAAACTGCTCAAACGGAGAGCGATTACCCGGACACGGAGAAACGCCCTCAGCACAAGTCGTCAAAGACTGGAACGCCCTGCCGTCCACAGTAGTGTCTGCCACAAAGGTTGCGCAGTTCATAGCCTCCTCCTCGCCAGGCCGAGGGTATATACGTACGCCGGTGAAAACAGGGCGCCGGAGGGCATATCAGTCACGTGACATTTGGAGCTTCTCCCCCTTCGTGGGCCTTCTACATGCTAAACGTCACGTGTGAATTTCACGAACCTTGATCAAATCGCCCCAGGCGCCCTGTTTTCACCGTCGTCCGTATATACGGCCACTAAAAAAAGGCTTGACTGGACCGACACTGGGCGAACGAGATGCACAACATCCCAATTCCCTATCATTAAGAACCTCTTTCTTACCTTGTCACACATGCTTGATTGGAGCGGGAGTCGGGACCACCAGGCCTAGTGGCCTTATTACCCAATAACTGATAAGGTAAGGTAAGGTAAGGTAAGGCAAATGCTAAAACGAGAGCGATTGCATGCAACTGTGGGCTTTTGTTGAATATTCAAGCAATTATTGTGAAAATGTACCTATCTTTTCAGACATCAGTCCAATTCAAAATTACAACTCACATCAATATTACAGTGGCCGCAAAAAAAATCTTTACAAAGGTTAAATGTAATGCAAACGCAATGAGCGAGCCGCTCCTATATCTCTTGTACGGGGGGTACTGGCGACTTCTTTTGACATGGACATAATACATATGGTCTCAACTTGCGAAATAAACAACAAGACTGTGGTCAGCGATCATTGTCAGGGAAGATACACCCTGTGTTGGAGTGCCTTTGAGGTGGTGCTTGTTTATCCCTATGGGAAAAAGATGAAACAAGTCAAAGACACTCCAATTCAGGGTGTATCTTTCCTGATAATGATCACTGACCACAGTGTTGCTGTTTATTTCGCAAGTTGAGACCATATGTATTATGTCCATGTCAAAAGAAGTCGCCAGTACCCCCGTACAAGAGATATAGGAGCGGCTCGCTCATTGCGTTTGCATTACATTTAACCTTTGTAAAGATTTTTTTTGCGGCCACTGTAGAGTACTGACTAAGGAAAACCCATTGCAATTTGAATTGTAAGCATTGTTAAATGTTGAGTATGCATTGTTGTTGAGGACTTTCAATCTCTCACAAAAAAAAACAATAGCTTAGCTCACAAATTTAATGCTCACTTGTGTCACCCTAAATGAATGTCATGTTGATGTGCCCGAATAGAGAGGAGAGCTCTTGAGGCAATCACGAAGCAATCTTGGAGTCCTCAGCCACTCAACTCTTTTTTTTAGTGGCCTCAGCCTACGTCAAACTTCTTGCGCAGCTGCGACAGATAATTGTGTTCGATAATCACAGTTTTAACGCTGACAGCCTAATTTCCAGCCTCTAAGCCAATTGGCTTGCAGAATGTCTCACCTGACATAGCCTCAAGAAGCATCCGAAAACGTTGATCAAAGCGATCAAAGAACTTGCATAAAATTGTTAGGTCAATTATGACCTTGGGTCATATCAATATTGCCCATATTGACTTGAGCAAGTCTTCAGAAGCTTCCAAGCAGGTAGACTACCTGCCAGCTAAGTTGGAAACTAAGTTTCCATTAACCCTCGCCCGCACATGCCATTTTCCCATCCTAGAACGCACATGGGGGGGGGGGGGGGTTGCCACCCCCCCGCGCCATTTCGTTCCTGTTGGAGATAGAGCTTAGCGGTAAAAACCAAAAAGATTCTTTGGCAAGAGACGAATCCAATGATACCCAGTTTTACCTTCTCAGGTCAGTCATTGACCTTCCAGGTCAGGTCAAACTAAAAAATGTTGCTGTTTTAGGTCACCATTGGATATCAAGCGCGCTGCTTGTCATATACCGATGAAGATGCCGTTTTCTGGTGCCAAGCCAGCTAGAACCTCTTTGTCACACTACCCGACCAGGTTTTTGCTGCTGAGGTCATCTCAGGTCAAGTTAGGTCAAGGTCAATAATATGTGTTTGTATGTCTGTGTGTGTCTGTGTGTATACTGATGTGTGCACCGATTGTTTATGTGTCCATATTACATGAAATCATGATCTGAGAAGCTTTTACCAAAAATGTAGTCAAAAAATTTCAAAAGTAAATTCAGCTTGCCTAAAACACAATTATCTTAGATGACCTAGGTTGACCTTGACCCTGACCTTGACCTCTGTACATCGTCGAACAACATGTTTCATAATAGGTGGGAGGTAGGTCGGATTGGCATAAAAGGCCGAAATCAAGGTGTTGAAAGCTCACAAGGCCCATAGCCAATGCAAGATGTTGAGAATTGGCCATTTGGGTCATGACATGACCTGAAAAACAAGGTCATATCTCCGAAACCAAAAACCACAGAAACTTGAAATTTTCAGTGGACATCAAGAAAGGATAGAGGAGCAGCTATACGAAAAATCAGCCTTCTAGCTCTAAAAATGTTGAGTGCAGAGCAGAAAGACTACCTGGGGGGGGGGGGTGGCAACCACCACCACCCCACCCCCCCCCCCATGTGCGGGCGAGGGTTAAAGGAAACAGTCCACTTTCCTGAAATCAGTATTTTGCTATTGATGTATGATTTTTTATGCTCAAAATATTCATGAAATAAAATAAAACCTTTTTGTAAAAACAATTATTTTCTATGTTTTAATATAGGACGAACTATATTCTATGTAAAATAAAGTTTGACGCGGAAGCTTATTACGCATTGACCAATCATATTGCGTAGCTCAAACCTACGCATACTGCATTGGCTGTAAGCAGCACGCTGATTGGCTGACGATGACGTGGCTGCATTCCTGTGCAAGGCACGCATTCCTCTACAAGGCACTCTTTTCGGAACGAGAAATGGAATATCTTCGTCTAGGGTGATCGTTGAGCCGTAAAAGTTCCTGATTTGTGCTTGTCTCAGCTCAAGCTACGAAACCGCTATTCCAGCTCAAAACCCCATGTTAAAAGTGAACTATTTCCTTTAAGTCAAACCAAAAAACATTGATATGTGTGATGCATAGCAGATAACTGATAAGACTATTATTCATTCATTTTAACAAACATTGTGTACTGTGTTTCAGATGCTTGAATGAGCTACACCAAAGTGGAACAAACTCTAAAGACCAGCAGTTGCAATTTGCAATTGAAATTGAAATGAAGATAATTAAGTTGTTATGTCTCAAGCAGTCATGCATCCTTTTCCTTCTTGTGCTCATTGTGTATGCAGGTAGGTGTTAATGCATTTTAGTGTGTGATGCAAGTCCGTATAAGAGAGTTAGAATCATCCTGCAATGGACCAGTCACTTAGCATTAGGAAGATGTCACTGGTGGACACCGCGCAGTGCCGGCTCCAAGCTGTTCATATGTTACCTTTGGCTCTGTAGACTGGTCTGTATCGGTTGTTACTACTGGACGTAATGAATGAATGACGTAATGAACTAATGACTTTATTACTTGGTATTAGTAAGTCTGGCGTCGTACCCACCTAGAGCTGATTTCCTTGTAGACACATTGCTGACACGGGTTCAGGGTTGACAATCGTGATATGTATCGCATGGGCAACCTTGCGACGGATTGCAATTGTTGTGCCCCCGCACCACTGATTGAATTTTCTATCTGCACTAAGGGGGCATAGGGCACATGCCCCCACCAGATTTAGGGGGCCCTGCAACGCCAAGGCCGCTGACGGTCCATGCTGGCCATATGGACTCAGAAGAGCTCCACAGGGCTCGCCAGAGCACCTTATGGCAGGGTTGTGGAGTCAATGAATATTCAGTGACTCCGACTCTGACTCCAATACCGGCCTCCAAAAACCAACTTCGACCTCGGCCCTGGTCCTCATCGAGCACCCAGATGGAACGACGGAAGCTCTGCGGGAGGTGGCGGGGAAAATATGCTCTAGTTACCGGGCTGAGATGGTGGCGCTGAAGACGGCAGTGCAACATCTCCTGGAGCACCCACCCCTCGAGCAGGATATAATCATATGCTCCGACTCACAGGCGTCACTTGCGACGCTGAGGGGAGGACCAGCGGCCCAGACGTCCCCTCTAGGTGCCGCCATCTGGGAGCACATGGCGGCACTGGTGGCTGATGGGGACCAAAGAGTCCACCTCCAATGGGTGCCGTCCCACTGTGAGCTGGAGGGAAATGAGCGGGTGGACGCCATCGCCAAGGTAGCCACCGTCCTCCCACAGCAGGGAGTCCCGGTCGACGTCCGCACAGTGTACCGTGCGGCGTCCCGGATGGCCAGAAAGGAGGCGATCAACAACTGGCCGGACGGCTGGTACAGGCGGCTGATGGACGGCCACCTACCCGCACCGCTGCCCATCACTACTCCACGAGAGGTGGCGGTTGATGTGCACGAACTGCGCGCCGGTCACTGGTCGGGATCCGCGCAGTATCTGCATCGGATCGGCTGGAACCCCGGTCGGGACTGCGCACAGTGCAGCTCGCTGACGTGCCGGGCGGCCGGCCGTCGCTGCTGTGGCGAAGAGGAGGCAGACACGCCAGAACACATCCTGCTACGCTGCCCGGCACTGATGCGACTACGCCTACGACATCTAGGCAACATACACCCGAGGGAGGAGGAGGTCCGGAGCTGCAGCGGCGTGGTGGCGGCCCTGGGGGCCGCCGCCAGGTACCTTCAGAGCCGGGAGGCTATGTAGCGACCGCTACGTGGGGAGTTAACAACAACAACAACCTCGGCCCTGTTTCACCGGTGATAGCAGCACACTGCTATTACACGTGTCAAATTGGGTTTCCATGGAAACATCAACAAACCATGGCGTGTCAAACTGTGTGATGTCATCAAATATTGCCGCTAACATCTTCACGGCCGTGCGACCAAACAAATTTATCAAACGCATTCAACAAGACAGCAACTCTGCTCCAAACGTAGCTATGAAAAAGCTCACGGATTACACCAAACGTCATTAATGTGACGTCATCACATTACGTCAGCTCGCGCAATTTGACAGCAGCGTGCTGCTATCACCGGTGAAACAGGGCCCTCAACTCCGACCCCGGGCAGAACAATTGACTCCGACTATAACTCCAATTCCCAACTCCGCAGTCCTGCCAAGTCTGCGGAGTCGATGGATTTTCGGTGACTTGGACTCGGACTCTGGCTCCGGTTTCCAAAATCGACTCCACCCCGACTCTGCAGCCCTGCCCCATGGGTTCCTGAAGAGCCTATTCTCCCCAGAAGAGCTCCACAACGGTCTCTTAGGGTCCCTTGCCAGTTTTTGAGGGACCCTTGGCCTTGCCGGCCTCTCAGGGCCCCTTGACCTCTGAGGGCTACTTTCCGGTCCCTGAGAGCCCTTACCGACCTATTTGTAACCAACCCACACCCGTCTGTAGCCACACACCAGTTTCAACGAGGGCCCATGACGGCCACTGTGAGTGCCCTCACCAGCGCTTCCAAGTGCCGACACCAGTGTCTCTGGAAGCCCCATATCATTCAAATCTGCTGGCCTCCACCAACACCTCATAAGGCCCTAAGGTCCTATATCGGCGGTTCTAAGGGCCGCACACGCCATACCACTTACCAGTGCCTTTAAAGGTTTCCAAACGGTTGCGCTGAGGACTTTACACCGGTGGTTTAGAGGATCCTATTGAAAGCATAACACAATCCCTTAGTGTCGCTGAGCTTTAACCATATACCGAACTATGAGGACCCCACTGATTATCACCTCTTCCCCCCGTAATGTCAGCAGCAGCGCGCCAGGCAGCCAAGCGGCCACGAGCTACTCGATTGTTAGCGCCTAGCACCGGCAGCTAGCCCACTCCCGGCTTGTTATCGGCCGTAAGCAGCTCTAAAACGGCTGCAGTAACTGGTCGATAAAGTAAGCAGATGTGTAGACTGGAGATCAAGGCAGATTAATGACCAATGAGGTTTTTTGCTTTACGTGGGTGGAGTGTCGAAGTCGGCTGCTAAGCTGTGAGCGGATTTCATCTGCAGACGGTTCACTATGACCATTGTCCAGGTCGCGGTCCGCTGATCCTTTCATGGGGAGCCGAGTCACAGCAAAAATCCATTCACGATTGCATCTAATTATACGACTTCGGACTTACTAACCTGAGAATGCCTTCTACCTAGGCTGCGGAGTTGATCTTCCGTTGACTCCGACTCCGTAGTCCGTACAGAACTGTCGACCCCGACCGACTCCTGCAGACCTGGCAGGGCTGCGCGGAATCGACGGATTTTCGCTGACTCGGACTCCGACTCCGGTTTCGAAAATCAACTCCGACTCTGACTCCAACTCCGGTCACAACTTTCGACTCCGACCGACTCCGACTCTGCCTCCACTCCGCACTCCGCAGCCCTGCGTTCTACTACCTACCGGCCGGTCGGCAGTCGGCACCCATTAGCGGTCCACCAGTGACGTCAGTCATCAGTGCTAGTGTTAAGCTTATTGTCGAATAATACACGGGCGGTAGTTTGTGGTAGTTTCGACCTGTATAAGATACTTGTAAATGTCATTGTGCGTTGAAGATCTGCCTCGAGCTCAGAATTGGGAAGCATTTGGGTATCCCTATTGTACCATTTGCATTTATATGGTGCCTCTAATTTCAGCATCCAGTTTAGGTTATCATTCGTTTTAGACTTCTTCACCATTATTCTCTTTTACAGTGTGTTCTCGTCTTTTGAGCATGTCAATGTCAAGAACATCAGATGATCTGCTTTCACCTCACATGCTCAAAATAATGAGGGAGCGGCGTCACCAGCTTACTGGAAACAGCTCAGCATTGAATGTCTTACGCAAGTCGTGTGTGTCCATTGACAGCATTAAGGCTGGAAGAGAAGGTAAGCTTCTGATGGTGCTGATGGCTAGAGGCGCCCCGTTTGAACTGTGAACAATGGCGTGCAGTACGATATCCTGAATGAAAATCAGTGTTCAAGCTGCTACCTACTGTTTGTCAAGGATCTGGCACAGGGTGGAGATTATTTACTGGAGTGACAGATAATGGCGTGTTTTCCAGGTCAGGCGCCTGAGGGGTTCCGTCTGCGCGCCGCGCTGCTGCTGGTGCGCCACGGCGACCGCGGCCCGCTGCTGCCGGTGAGGAACCTCTCCGACATCGACTGCGGCGTGCCGGCGGTGCTGCCGGCCGGTCTGCGCTCCGTGTACGCCGGCTACGGCCGGGCGGCGAGCCGCGCGGCGGCCGGCTGGCGCGCCCGGCTGGAGGCGGTGGGCGGCACGGGCGCGCTGCTGCCCGCCGACGGCCGCTGCCGCCAGGGCCGGCTGACGCCGCGCGGCGTGCTCCAGCTGCTGCGGCTGGGGACCGCGCTGCGGCCGCGCTACGCGCCGCTGCTGGCCGGCGTGGCGCCGCAGCGGCTCACCGTCTACTACTCGCCCACGGAGCGCACACTCCAGAGCGGCGCCGCGCTGGCCTTCGCGCTGGCCGGCGAAAAGTCGCTCGGCGGTGCCGTCTGGCAGGCCACGCGCAACGTGGATCTGTGCGTGACGCAGTGCAGTTGCCCGGCGGCGCGGCAGCTGTACACCCGCGCCGGGCTGGCGGCGCGCCGCCGACAGGCCGACCACCCGGCCTTCGGCGAGCTGGTGTCGCGGCTGGGGCCGCTGGCGGTCGAGCAGCCGCCGGAGGCGCCGCCGCTGCGTCCCGCCGAGCTGTGGGACGCGCTGCTGGCGTCCGCCTGCCACCAGGCGCCGCTGCCGTGTCTGGGCGAGAGCTGCGTCTCGGCCGCGGACGCCGGCAGCCTCGTGGTGTTTCGCCAGTGGGAGGCGCGCCAGCCGCGCTCCCAGGAGCTGCGCAGCGCCGCCAGACTGCGCATGCGGCGCTTCTTTGAGGAGGCGGGCCGCCAGCTGAGCCGAGGGGTCTCCGGCGAGCGGACGGCGCCCCTGCTCACCGTCTGGGCGGGCCACGACCTGACGCTGAGCGCTGCGCTGCTGGCTCTGGGGGTGCGCGCCCTGTCGGCCCAGTTCCAGCCGCCGTACGCCTCCCGGCTGGCCATCGAGGTATACGAGCCGACGCCGGCCAACCCTCAGCGGCTGTGGCAGTTCCGACTGCTGTACAACGGCGAGGACGTGACGCCGCTGGTGCCCATGTGCGCCGGCGCGCCGTCTGGCCGACTCGACCTGTGTCCGCTGCAGACGCTGCTCGACTTCACCGGGCCGGGGTACATGGCGCCGTTCGGCGGACGGAGCTACGAGCAGGTGTGCGCCGACACTAACCTCTGAGCGGCGGGGACCACCGGCCGGCGCGGCAGCGTCTCCGGGTCAGGTACGGCGCCAGTGGTGCACAGGGTGGGCCGCCGCTGCACGTCATGGTGAGACCCGGGGCTGGTGGAGGGGACCTTCCTAAATAGTCCTTCGCTTAGCGATGACAACTTTTGTACGTGAGGGAGGTCACTTATACTTAGCTGCACTGTCTACTTAATCTTACTACTTACACATTACAGTTCCGTGGCGCCTTTTGCGAGCTCATAGTGTTTTATTAAGCCCGTTTCTAGCGTATGCATTTTTACTTTTTAGCTAATCTATTGGAGATCACGTGACCGCCTCAATGTAAGTTGCAGGCAGTTTTGCTCCAAGTCTTCCCTTTCATCCGTCTTGATTTTGTGTAGTCAGACGCATGAATCCACCGTGCCACTAAAGTTGTCATTTCAAAACGTTGCCTTACGACTTAATTTAAAATGGAAGAGCTTGTATCTCTTTCCGAACTACCGTGACACCTAAAGTCAAGCGGTTTCACGAGCCAGAGCTACCTTATTATTAATTTAGCTTCCAGTGCTAACAGCACCTTGTAGAGTTACAGCCGCCCTGGTCGGTGGATCCCCCCGATGTAATAATTCGCCACATTCGACACGCCTTTGGCTGGCATTCTGTTAACGAGTCGCGGACGACGGCTTTATGCGGTCTTGTATCGGTCAAAGACCGCTGCCTGGGGCGCCAAGCCATTTTCTAGTCAGAACCTTATGGGTTTTAAGTTTCCGGGTATTAGTCGTAGATAAACTACATTTACCAGTGTAATACCATACCATTATTGATTTTCTAGCCTATCGTATCGACGGGTTTTAGTTTGGTGATAGCACTTAGTTTCTTGCACTAAGTGCATTTGAGTGTATTTTACTACCTAGGTACCCAAAGTTTAGGGAAGTATTTGTGATATCAGTCTATATTTCTTATTTGTATCTTTGGCTCCATTTTCTCGTATGCTGCGGTATAGACGTAGGCAAGCTACAATCTCAACAATCTGAATGTCCAATTGGCCATCACTTAGAAAAGGGTAGGCGCCAGACATGTGCTTGGATCCGGAAAAATGGATCTGAGATCCGATCCCATGGATCCCGATCCGAGATCCATTCAGATCATAGATCCAACCCCTCAATTTTGTCGAGAGATCTACTGGGATCATAGATCTGACCCTTCAATTTTGTCGCTAGATCCACTCGGATCATAGATCTGGCTCCCCAATTTTGTCGTGAGATCCGTTGGGATCATAGCTCATACATAGGTGCTCAAAATGTTAACAACTTTCTTTCATAAGAAGTTATGAATACCAAAGTATGGTTAGAAACAAACAATCTTATACAAAGACCATATTAGTAAAGGCATCCAGTTACATTATACAGAATACAAAATAAAGGAGGCTCATGACGGTCACAACTTGAGAGAATTGAGTGACATGAAGATTGTTCACAGTTCACATACCAACAGAAAAGTTTGCATTAACAATTAACATAGAGGTAAGTCAAAGTAATGACTAATGAACAATACATAACTACGTACCTACCACATCACAATTCATGTTAGAATCTACATAGGGCCTGTTCCAGCGCCTCCAGAAACCTCCAGAAAGCTCCAGAAAGCTCTAGAATCCTCCAGAGAGCGTTCCAGCGCCTCCAGAAAGCTCCAGAAAGCTCCAGAAACCTCCAGTAGCCTCCAGAGAGTTGAGAGGTCCAAATTTCTCTGGAGGCTCTGGTCTACAATTATGGCGCACATGTGACAATCGCGAATGTAAACAAAGGACTTTTGACTGATTATTTTACAACTTGAATGTAAAGAAAATTACATTGCTATAATTTTGTTAATCTTTCTTAATAAAATTGAAAATAAATTTTGTGTTTCAAGAGAAAACAATCGTCATTCTTTTGGTATCTGTGATGCCAATCTCCAGAAATCTCCAGATTGCGTTCCAGCGCCTCCAGTGAAACCTCTGGTAGAGCCTCCAGTCAAGAATTTCTACTGGAGGCGCTGGAACAGGCCCATAATGATATTGATAAGACAATCTCATTGATCTTGCAATAGACAACCATGAGGCTTTCCAGTTTCCAGCTACCACAATTGATTGATAAACAATAAAAGATGATACTGACACATGTGGCTTGGTTAGGTAAAGGTATTTCAATCTATTGAAAGAAATATTTGATAAAATAAACTGAGATATAAACAAAAGTATAAAAATATTCAACAGCCTGCGGAAGCGATGGGAAGCGAAATATCATTTTTTTTTTTTGAATTTTTCTCCCGACAGGCCGAGGCCCTGGTCGGGGTAGGGGGAAGTTACTAGCTGGCAATTAGCCAGATCTTCCGTTTTACTTTACTTTAAAGCCGGCTATGTTATTCCGGCCCAAGGCAATATCAAGAGCAAAGTTTACGTTAGACCGGCTCATGTGACGTCCGGTGGGAGCAAGTGCAAGGGGAAGCCAGAAAGGGTGCCAGAGTGGCAGTGCCGAGAGGGATTTTGAATACTTACATGTCTTGCTGCTGTATCTTGATGCTGAAATGTGGAAGTGTTGTAATGTGTGCTGTTGTTGTGTCGTGAGTTCCACCAGGAAAGTCCTAACTAGAAAAACCTGGTGCCTATCTTAGAGGGCAAAACCTGTGCGCTTTTGCCAAATTGCACAGGAAAAATCCCTTTGCTTTGATATTACGTTACGTTATATCGCTAATGTGTGTGTGTTTGTGGAGCTATCGCCTTCATCCACTCCCGGGGGCCATGGATGCAAGCCACCTAGGCCGCGCCCGGGGTGTCCGGCCAGATAGCTTGTGTCTCGAGTGGGCCTCAACCTTTAAGAGGGATCCCTGTCGAGAACCACCTGCCCACGGTGGGCAGGTCCCGATTGCCGCCGCCGCCGCCGGAGGGACGCAAACACGCGCGCTCGCAAACGTAAAGGAATCACGGCGCAACAAGAACAATTGAAACAAAGACAATCACAATGAAACCACGAGAAAAACCAAGAGAAACCAAGAGAAAATCATGAACTCGGGGAGGGGAGCCCACCGCCGCGTGCCAATGGTCACCGCGGCGGCGGCTGGTGCCCGTAAGCTCGGGGCTCCTACAAACCTCCACCAAAAGCTGAATGGTATGATTAGAGAACTGACGTTTCAGTGCGGGGACCTGTGTCGTAACATTCCATTATAACGGGTCGTTGCGGACGGCATAGCGCCGACACCCCTTTCTCGAAGCAGATGGGGGGGGGGGGAGGAGCCCACCGCCGCGTGACAGTGGTCCCCGCGGCGGCGGCTGGTGCCCGTAAGCTCGGAGCTCCTAAATTGACATGGCCAGTCTCGAATTCTTCAGAGATCAAACAGATTGAGTCCCGCGCCCAGAACCGCTATCGACGCTTGCCGACCACGGAACTGAGCGCGAGACTGTGCTATATGGATCGTTCTAGTCTGGAATTATTCAGGAAAGAGAAAAGCAAGTCGAGTAGATCCGGGTGAGAATCGCCGAGGAGAGTGGGAATTGAAAGTGCAAGTCGGTTGTTTGTGATATATTGGATTATAGGTTGCCTCTCAGTTTGATATTGGGGACAGTGGATCAAGAAGTGTTCAATTGTGTATCTTATATTACAACGTTGGCAGATTGGAGGGGGGCCTTGATCAAAGATATATTCATGTGTCAATTTGGTATGTCCGATTCTAAGCCTGGCTAGAATAACTTCTTTAAGCCGGGTATTTTGATAAGCAGTCGACCAGTGCTTAACGATTGGCTTGATTGGGTGAAGATAGAAGTGCGGGTTTACGTTCCATTCGAACTGGATATGTTTTTTATAGGCCTCGTGAATCACGTTAAGGTAATCTGATACCGGGCAGGGGAGGGAGTTATTGGGGGGTTCGCGGAGGCTGGCTTTGGCCGCTTCGTCAGCGCGCTCGTTCCCCACAATGTTCACGTGACCGGGTATCCAGATTACCTTAACTTCTCTTTTTTGATTGGTGATTTGGTTAATTTGTCTTTTAATGTCTCGCGTGATTGGGTGTGAATCATTATGGGCCACTGCGATTGATTGTACTGCGGCCTTGGAATCAGTGCAAATCACCAGCTGTCGATCTGTTTTGTTGATTACATGTTGGAGCGCTGCGTTAATCGCATAGAGCTCAGCCGAGAAGATGGAGTGGTAATCAGAGAGGCGGAATGATTGTATGTGTCCTTTTGTGTAGAAGGCGGCTCCGGTCTTGTTGTCCGCCCGGGAACCGTCTGTATATATAAAAGTATGGTTTTTATGTTCATTTTGGAATTCCAGGAAAAGTTGCTTCATTTCGTCAGTGTTCATTTCTTTTTTCTTGTCGTCGAACAAGAACAGGGTTTCAATGGGGTGCCTAGTCCAGTAAGGGCTCAGTGGGGGGGGTTTCTAGGACTTTTGGAGTTTCTATTTTATAGTCCCTGAGTATGTTTTTAAGGTGTCTTCTTATTGTTTGGTACTTGTATTCTCTATGTGTTATTATGTTATTTTCTGGTAGGTTACTGAGTATAGCATATGGTATTGTATCTTTTCTTGCCATTACTTTTGTGTAATACCTTATAAGCTGGTATTCTCTTCTTCTTTCAAGAGCAGGAATGTTGGAATCAACACGGAGATTCGACGAGGGCGAAGTGCGGAGTGCGCCAGAGATAATGCGAAGAGCGGAATTTTGGATACTCTCGACCTTGTTACTGAGAGTAGTGGATATATTAGTTAGTAGAAAGGCATTATAATCCAAGATGGATCGAATCAGAGATGTATATAGAAGTGTTAGTGTTTTCCTGTCAGCGCCCCAGTGCGTGCCTGAGATGCACCTCATGATATTGAGGCGCCGGGTGCACCTTCCTGTGATGTCTGCTATGTGTTGTGTGAAAGTGAGTCCCCTGTCCAGTGTGATGCCTAGATATTTAAAGGTGTTTGTTTGTGGAATCTCAACCCGGCCCAAACGGAGCGGGCGTGGGGGTGTGGGGTGTCTGCGTTGCTTGGAAAAGGTTAGTGAGGCTGACTTGTGGGGAGCAATTTGCATTCCCCACTTGTCACACCATTTGTTTACGTGGTTTAGTACCGTTTGAAAATGTTCATTTTTTCTGCCTCACATGATTTTACGATACGATTGTTTGTGAATATCATCTTTGTAGCGTTGAATTTAATGACGTAAACGTAAGCTGAAACGGTATTATATGGCCCTGAGCGGTGTGCGCCTTGCATCTTAATTTTATTCACTTTTGAAAAGAATAACAATATCTCACGTCATTAGTTTAGAGGGCCTATTACGGGGAATCTTTTGGAATCATTACAGTCTTGGTCAAATTAAGATTTTTCATTGGTCAAACGATAATGACGTAATAAAACCATATTACCAAAACGTGAGCTGTGAATTTCGTTTGTCTTTTTTTGGGAGGCTCTCTCATAACAAAAGCACAGCATGGCACCACACGTGGCAGCTGGCAGGATGCCAAAAGTGGCCAAAAGTAGGTAATCTGAAGAAGTTGATGCCATTTTTGAACTTGTAATTTTATTAGGAAAGTATTAGAGGTTGGTTGCTATTCTTACTAAATCGAAATTGTGTTGCACATACTAATAGCTCATATGAACATTCTGGATTGGGATTTCATACCTGGCAGAAGTGGATTGCTGGATTATTTTTAACAAAACTGACCTATTTGGCTTCCAGGTTTGATTTCCTAACATCTGTCCATAGGCGGCAGAACAGGGGGGGGGGGTGTGGCACCAGGGTACAGTGCCCCCCATAGAGTTTGGCATTTTAGCATTAGCCCTACTGGCGTTGCAGAAAGAATGGGACCAAAATGAAAATCTGCAGTGCCCTGCTGCCACTGCATCTGTCTGTACTGTTTGTTCTTTGAATTAAAGTGGCTGTAGCTTGTTGATAAGATTGTCATCAGTGCTGTTATGAAAAAGTTACAATTGGTCACAAAAAGTAGCAATATGCATGTTCTTGGTTTATTTTAAATGTAGTACAAATGTTGTTTATTTAGATTCAAATTTAATGATGATACCTAATGATCACAAGTGGTCTTAACCAATAACCATGTCCACAAGTGATAATTCTCAATTGTATTGCACTGTAAGGTGTACAATTATGTAGGATAAGGGTTTCATTGGCTACATGTTGTCGTGAGATCCATACAGATCATAGGTCCTCCACAAATTTTAGCCCGCTGGATCCGCAGAGATCATAGATCCGACCCCTAAATTTTGTCGAGAGATCCATTCAGATCATAGATCCAACCCCTGAATTTTGTCGAGAGATCCACTCGGATCATAGATCCAACCCCTCTATTTTGTCGAGAGATCCACTGAGATCATAGATCCAGCTCTCGGATCCAAGCACATGTCTGGTAGGCGCTAGGTATCTCTAGTTCGAAACAAACCGATTCCCGCGCAGAAAATGCCAGAAGTTTTATATATTTTGTTGTCCGGTAATGCGTGCAGGTTGGGGCCCCTGCGTTATAGCGCATGGCCATTCAAATACGTCTAGCCGGTTATGCATATGGACTGTTTATGTTCGTAGCTTTTAACTAATATTTAGCCTTTCTCTGCCAGTCTGTTTTGGGAGATGCCATAGAATTTCGGGAGAAGCTATAGTGCCTTTTCGTGCTTTTTCGGGGACTGGAATTTCGACGATGCTTTATTATATTCGGGTTTCAATCCCGGTACCTATTCATCTTGTTTGTAATGTACAAAGTAGTATGAAACTTATCAGTATGTGGGCTGTGCAGTGCAATTATTTCTAATTATTCAGTATTTTGATTGGTCACGATTATATTATGAAGGTACTTCTGCATGCCGCTCTGCATGTGGTAGGTAGCTCTTATACGGCCTTGGTGTAAGTTTTGTCTGATGTTATGAACACACTATAACCTGCACATTGCGACTTGTGAACGCTGATTAGCGACCACTATTCCAACTTACGTACGAACTGAACGGAGACATATCACCATTGCTGTGGGTAGCGAGGGATGACGGCGCGTCGCTCACCAAGGCTCACGTCCCACCACTGTGCGTATTTTATTGTGTAAACTTGATGGACAGTTGTTTCGTTTAAAAACACAACAGGCAATACGTGATTTTGGTGGGAAAGGGTGCATTGGTGATGTAAATTGTGATGTTTGCTAAACAGTCTCTTTTTGTTCGTATCTTCGAGTCACTTGATGTGCTTGCTTTCTGGTGGGCACGCTTTTATATGTATCGCAACAAGTGGGATACTGAACAATGGTAGCATGGTCATAAGCACGATAATGGCTGTGTAAGGGGCGCCCGGGCTCCCTTACGAAAACACCGTGGTGTTGTCTTTTCCGCAAGGCCATTTGCAGTTAAGTTTTTCCGAAAGGTAGCAGCGGTATCTGAACGTGTTTTCTGACGTTTGACTCTTGGGAGTTCACGATTTTTTCATGTTACATTCGTGCAATTTCGAGCAATATAACCATGACTGAACGCGCCTATATGTAAGTCACCCACATAACCACTTTATGCACGTTTTGTAGTGCTGCATCCGCGTACAATAGTTTTTAAAGAATCGGTGAGAGCGTCTTCATTGTGAATCTGAATTGAAGCCCGTCTCCGCCACCATCGTGATAGCTTTTGTACGTTTTTGAGGACTGAAGACTCGCGGGCAGACCGGTGTATTTCCGTATATGTTCCTTTTGGCTCTTCCCTAGTGCGACAGCTGCGGACAGGACTATGCCAATTTGTACGTTTCTGCGTCTCATTTAATGAAGTCTTGTATTTAACAGCACTACTTTGCTCGCTCACTGTGTAGTCATGCACAAATGTGTGGTTTTATAGGAGCTTGTTCAATTCGGTGTCGATCTGAGGTCACCACATGACGTTGGCTTAGTATGACGCTCATGATTTGTGAGCCCGCTGTCTGCAATGTAAAGCGGTGTGTTCCAGTCAATTGCACTTGGGGTTTGGGGCCGCGAATGGGGGTCACCCGACTCAGTGCTGATTGCGGCGCGGTGATCTCAACTGTGTCGATTGGCCCATGGACTGCGGCGGCGAGTCAGTATGAGATGAACGGCACATTGACTCTGCGTCACCTCGCTTAGTCTGCGCGCACCGAGACGAATCTGGTAGTCAGTACAGGGCGTGTAACATATCATTTACGAGTAGTCACAATACATCCGTTTTACGAAGACGCGATCGTTTGGGTGACTGGCACGGATATGCATTGAGGCGGTATGTATTGTTAGCGCAGATGAAGACAGGCAGACAGGGGACCGACTCGCATGGCATAGGGTGCGGACGGTCAGACACAAACGCGACGTCTCACAGCACAGAACACTGCGCCACAGTGGCACGGACTAACACAGACTGCACACCGAGGCGACTATCCCCGGTCTGAGGACACTAGCGATACCCCGCTATAGGGGATGAAGCAGACGGACAGTGTCCAGCCGGAGATCCCCTCTGACCCCGGGTCAAAGTGCGAGGTCAGACCGCGTCCCGCGCTGTCCCAGTGTAGCCGCGCGCGACTGGCTAGCGGCGAGTTATGAGGCGTTACACGGCGTGCGGGCAGCTACCGCCAGTCGACTGTCTTCCCCTGGTCCACTGGACGTTTGTTGGTTCAGCAGTAGGAGTAGCGACGGTGTGGCCAGGCCCGGCTCCGCAGTCCCACTGCTCCGATCGACTTGTCCTGAAACTGACTCCGCGGCGCCATCACCAGAGCACGCCATGCCCTGTCACAAAGTGGCCATCCACGGACTCACGAGCTCGGCCATTCGCAGAATCACACAGCCCACCGACTCTAATCTCATCACAACACTGACTCTCCCGACTCTGACTCTGACTCTGACTCGCATCTCTCGTCTACCCGTCAGCGCTGGCGCTCAGTTCCCAGCGGCGGGGAGCGGCTCACATCATTAGAGTCCCGGGCCCCCAGGGCCTCAGCTGCGAGCGCGACACTGCGAGCACGGGCGGCCGCGCCGGACCCTCGGACGGGACGGCGAGGGCCGCGGCAGTGGAGCGGCAGGCAGTGCATGTTGCTGACGGCTCGGACCGCTCGGTCGGAGAGTAACACATCGTCTCAGTCACGGGTTCAGCGGTCACAGCTCTGTTCGCGAGCTGTTCAAACTTGCACTCCGTAATAAATAATATTCTGAAACAGACACCGACGACTACGATTAAAACATAGCAAACATATGTCGTCATTCTCTCACTTCACAAATCTAAAAAGAACATCTTGCTATAAAAAACGTGTTTACCAATTGCAGCACGAACCACTTTCACCAAAACACAGCTAAACATCCCCTCCCACACCATCCGGCCTGCCTCCGAGTCTCCCTTCACCCTCCCCTACCTCCCCTATTTCGCCCCAGACACACTCACCGTTGGGCCTCCGGCAGCGGTTCCCCAGCCAGTCGGGCGCGCAGTCACAGATCCCAGTGACCGGATCACACGAGGAGCCGTCGGCGCAGCGGCAGCGGCGGCTGCAGCCGGGACCGTACCGACCCTCCGGGCAGGGGCTCTCACAGGAGACTCCCGCCCGGCCGGCCGGACAGGCGAATTGGCCGCTCACCGGGTCACACGGGGCGCGCGCACACCGCTGCCGGCAGCCCTGGCCGAACGTGCCTGAGGGACAGGAGGGCGACCGGGTCAGAAGAGATGGAAACTGCGGATGGGAAACGTGAAGATGATGAAAGGGTGAGCCGTATACAACGGTACTCATTTCGGCCTATCGTTGCGTTTTTCACTTGTTGAGAACGGTATTTGTGGGCCGACAGACCGTGGAAAAAAGACTTCTAACAGCACCGAGTTTATATGTCGGCCTCCGAGGGAGTTTGTTAACATACCCTGCGGGCAGACGTCCTGGCAGAGGTGGCCCATGTAGCCGGGCGCGCACGAGCACTGTCCGCTGACCGGGTCGCAGCTGCCGCCGTTGTAACACCAGCACACCTGGCGGACCCCAACGGTGTGAGACACACAGGCATAATAGATGCTGTCAGTCTGGTAGGCACATAATTCGAGATACAAGCAGGTGGACCGGGAGCACGGCATGCCTATCTCGGCTGGCACGATTTCTGGCATAAGTTCCGTTAATATGTTACTCGCCTGAACACTATGTCACAAACTATACCAAAACCCCCGCTAATTACCCAAAGTCTCTTATCATGGTATAACCGGGCACTCCTCACTGGTTCCCAGTTATGGCAGAACGCTTTGACAGAACGACAGAAAGATGAGCCTCGTCCGGCGGCTATCTGACCAATATCATCATCATCATCATGTATTCTTATGTTCGTCCACATTCGATGGCTTTTCGGAACAAGTGTCAGGTTTACATAAAATCAGGTACCTATTAAAAGTAAAATATGCAGCATAAAAGTAAGATTGCACCCTACACTAAAAATATTAAAATACACATGAAACACGCCTAAAAGTTATCAACACCATTTTAAAAAAAAAAAAAGTATCAGTGTCCTATTTAGGTGGAGGTCGTCAGCCACTTTCTCGCCCTTCTCCGACAGACTCTGGCAGAGCGGGACTCTCTCACTTCCGCAGGAGCGCGGTTCCAGAGTGAGACAGCACGACAAAAGAACGACTTCCGTGCGTGTTCACTGCGCACTCGAGGGATCTGCAGCGAGCCGGCTAGAGAGCCCCTCGTGTCCCTGGTGGAGACGTCACTGCGGTGTGCGATTTGGGCCGTGAGGCCGGTTGGCGCTTGGTCGTTATTGAGCAAGTAGTGCATTTGCGATGCGTCGCGCTCGGCCACAAGGTTGTCGAGTGACGGCCACTCCAGTTTCGCTAACAACGGCGTGACATGGTCGCGTCTCCTCGCCCCCCTCACCACCTGCGCACAGTGGTTTACCACTTTCTGTAGCCGATGGCGCTGGGTGGCGTTGCAACCAGCCCATACAGTAGAGCAGTAGGCGAGATGTGGAAAGATAACCTCTCTGCCCACCTCTCTGATCTGAGAACATTTGACGTCCTCGCGCAATGTTGATCGTGGTTTTAACCTCACCTCGGCGCAGTGTTTGCCGTGTTTTGCCTCACCTCGGCGCAGTGTTTGCCGTATTTTAACCCTCACCTCGGCGCAGTGTTTGCCGTGGTAGCCGTGCGGACACTTGGCCTTGCACAGCTTGCCGTAGAAGCCGGCTGCGCAGCTGCACGTGCCGGTCACATGGTCGATGCGCGCGCCGTTCCAGCAGCGGCCGCGGAACATGCAGTTGGGCCCGTACCGATTCCGGCGGCACGGCGAGCGGCACCTGAACGGCGGAGGAGGAGAGAAGGGGTGAGTGGGGTAGGGCGGTCGTGGTACTGACAGAGGCTGGTGCTCTGAGCAGCAGGCAGCGTATTTTGATACTGCACAAGCACGGACAACAAACGTGGTTTAGATTGGCGTGGAGGAGACAACGAACATGCCCAACATTCATAGAGCTGTAATCTCACATCGATAGCTCATGAGTTGACCAGTTGTGACCATCATCATTCGTGTCTATAGCTCGACATCTGGACCTTTTCCCCGTTCCCAGAGAGGAGGACCGCTCACCTTCGACCGCGGAAGCCGGGCGGACAGATGCAGCGTCCGTCCTTGTTGCAGACACCGCCGGGGCAGCGACACCGGCGACGGCGGGTTTCTGGAAAACAGGTACGTCAAACGTTCGGGTGGAATGAGCATATGTAGACCAGAGGCACTAGAATCTCATTTCTATAGATCATCGTCCCATACGTGAGGAGTATCGACAGTACAGACTTTTCACTCACTTTGCACGGACGATTCTGGTTTGATTTCATTGGGTAGCTGGTTGGATTCCCTGGCGGTGGCCTGTGAGCCATCCGTTATACATTTCCCCGTCAGGTGGTGACACTGTGCGCTGGGGCATTTGGCCGAGCAGCGCTGGGCGCAGCCGGCTCCGTACGATCCGGGGGGACACTTGGAGCGGCACCGGCGGCCAGAGTAACCCGGCTTACAGTCGCAGTGGCCCGTCTGTCGGCACAGAGAAGGGGTGAACTCAACAACGCCGGGTTTGGCACAGTGGAAATGGACCTCTCCCTTCATCTCGCTCGTGGCAGCACCGACCTCTCGCTCTGTCAATGGAATCGGACGTCGGACATCAGCGACGGTACTTGTGGACGTTGGACATGACTTGTAAGTCAGAGGCGACATGGAATTTTTTGGCATGGTAATCAGTCAAGCTACCTAGAACCTGTCGATCTCTTACCTCAGCGTTGCAGCGGTACGTGTTGGGTTTATGGCACGTGCATTTGCTCTGGCAGTTGACCCCATACGTGCCCTGAGGGCAGATCTGGTAGCACTGCTTCCCGAAGTAACCGGGTGGGCACTCGCAGTAACCGGACACCTTGTTACACCTGTGAACAGAAGAACTCCGATTGAACATTCCAACCGTGAGAGACATTTGAAAGGTCACACTATCAGCGACACCATATACTCGCACCTATCGCCTGACTGAGGTATTCCAAAGACACCGCCCTGGCGACGAGCATCGATAGATCGAGCGTCACATCCGTGTCTCGGATCTCATGCAGTGATGATAGTGACAGTCACTTACGGTGGCCGGGCTGTTGCAATAAATTTATCGCTGCCTCCCTCAAAATCAATTGCTGTCCAGAACAGGCTCGGTAAGTGATTTGTTGGCGGGACAAGGCACTACGAAGACAGAGCTCAGCAGTTTCAGTATATGTACACAGGGCACGAAACTGGTACACGGAACAGGGCAACTGGTCTGTTTCCCGAATAGGAGACCAGATCAGGCTCCATTTCTTACCTTTTTCCCGAAAACGGATCGCGACAGTTTTCCCGAGAAAACCGATGTTTTCTCGGGACACGGCGCTGGACAGTGCTTACTCACCTGTTTTCTGGACAGGGCACCCGGCAGGGTCCCAGCACTCAACTGTTTCCGGGACAGCGGTCTCCAATTAGCCTGTTTCCTTGGGACAGGGCAGACGGGGCAGCGCTCTAAAACTCACTTATTTCCTGGACATGACTATTATAGGCAGCGCTCTATAACCGACCTGTTTCCGGGACAGGGTACTACAGGACAGGTTCTCCATCACTGACCTGTTTCCGGGACAGGGTACGGGGCAGCGCTCGCTGCACGAAGGTCCGAAGTAGCCGGCCGGGCAGCCGTCCTCACAGCGCTCACCGCTGACACCGGCCGGACAGCTGCACTCGCCTGGTCAAACAATAGGCACGAACGGCTTCAGTGAATATCAAAACGGTCTGAAATGGGGATGAACCGTATTGAACGCAATTATATTCCATAAACTATTACGATACCTATATAAATAGTGGCTGCAATGGGCAATGGCATCTTACACGTCAAATTCGGGAAAAAAGATCAGCTAATTACTCGAGAAAGTGATAGCAAAACGCAAATAAAATGAGCCCCATGAATTATCAAACCATAGTGAGTAATACATTGAGTGACCCAATGGGATCATACTATCTAATAATCAGTTGCCTGACCTGTGACATGTGACAGCCTCTGTCTGACCTGTGACGTGGTGGCAGGTGCCGCCGTTGAGGCAGGTGCACAGCTGGTTACACCCGTCGCCGTACGTTCCCGCAGAACAGGGCAGGTCACAGTCCGGGCCCATGAAGCCCGGCTTGCAGTCCTCTGCAAGACCGAGATTCAATCAGACCATGATCAGACTAATGGAGCCTTGTCAGGGGGATTTATAGCCGCTCTGTCAGCATTCTACTGCGATCGAAATTTGTCCGATTCTTCTCTCCATACTACAAGTTAAAACCAAACAATAACCATTTGAATAATAAAGTAAAGATGGAATGACGATGACATCACCTCCCTGCTACTCCGATGGTGCATTTCAGTATATTCTTGTGGCAATACTGTCCCGTAATGCATCATCCATCGGTGGTTCCAGTACCGTCCGGAATACATTATCCTGCCATGGTAATTCCACCGAGCACGATCAGCGCCTATTCCCGTCATCCCTCACCCTACATTCTAGGTAAGAAGTAAGAACATCCTCTCACCGATAGTCTGCGGTGCGCCGAGTGTCCTCAGGGCCGGGAACGGGCCGTCCCCCTGCACGGAATTGGTGAGATGCTGCGCCGCAGGAGCGTCCGAGATCTCTGTAACCGAGCGGGAGGGTCGGTCACAAATCATGACCGCGGGGCGAGGTGAGAACCGCTCCGAATCGGCGGTGGTATCGCTACTGGTTGTTTGAAAGGCAAACTTCATCAAAAGGCAACCGTGCTTACAATCTATCGCGATCTCTCGATGCTCACAGGCTTATACAAAGACCTAGGATTGATGACTGCGTTCTGCGACGCACCTTTCGGCTGAATCCCTATTCTACTGACCGTCGCGGGTATCTATTGACCATATCAGCTGCCGCTACACTCCGTGTACTACGACGCCGTTGGACTTACTGAGACAGGAGCGCTGGTCGACGTCCAGCTGGAAGCCGGGCTGGCACGAGCAGCGGTACGAGCCCTCTGTGTTAAGACAGTCCTGCTCGCAGCCGCCCTTCTGAACAGAACACTCGTCCATGTCTGAAACCGGGCCGAAAAGAGGCACGTCAGGAATGGTGACTGATGGGTGAGCCTGAGGATTCATGCATTTATGATGCGTCATTGCCAAAATATGACGGGAATTTGCGGGCAGACATTCCAGAAGCAAGGATCCACAATTAATCAATTCCCAAAATAATGAGTCCCGAAATATCTGTTGCTGTTTACCTCACAATAGCCACCCATTAATTTTGACGCAAATATGCATTTAGGTAGGCAACAATCACAATCACTTATTGATATCAAACTAATACAGTTCAGGCGTTCCTGATACCTCCGATACATCAATCTCCCGGTATTTTCAGCATTCCAACTCCGCTAAGCCGAGCAGAAACACCGTTCGCCCGGCAGATAAACAGTAGCCTGGTGTAACTGTCAACATTCAGCGGCGGCCAGCGTGACATGCAGATGCGGCGATTGAATAAACCTCAACAGTCGACCGACGGCACGGCCCTGAATTAGACCCGACCCCGACCGAGAGCCAGACAGACCAATATTGATGCTCGGCGGCCTCCGGCGCCGGGCTTATCACACGGACGGAGCCCTGATCCCCGCTCCTCAGTCAGATATTCACCCAACTGATACTGTTCGCTCTGTCACAGGTTTATTTCTCCTTATGTGTAGGAAGACTGATTTAGTTAATTCTCTTCGACAGTCTTGTCCTGTCGAACTCACCTCGGCAGCGCTGTTTCCCATTTCAAACTCCCCGTGACAGTGCTGTCCTGTCGAACTCACCCTGACAGTACTGTCTCCCATTTCAAACTCGCCCTGAACGTTCTGTCCTGCAGAACTCACCCTGACAGCACTGTCCGTATTCTCACCCTGTCGAACTCACCCTGACAGCACTGTCCGTATTCTCACCCTGTCGAACTCACCCTGACAGCACTGTCCGTATTCTCACCCTGTCGAACTCACCCTGACAGTACTGTCCGTATTCTCACCCTGTCGAACTCACCCTGACAGCACTGTCCGTATTCTCACCCTGTCGAACTCACCCTGACAGCACTGTCCGTATTCTCACCCTGTCGAACTCACCCTGACAGCACTGTCCGTATTCTCACCCTGTCGAACTCACCCTGACAGTACTGTCCGTATTCTCACCCTGTCGAACTCACCCTGACAGTACTGTCCGTATTCTCACCCTGTCGAACTCACCCTGACAGCACTGTCCGTATTCTCACCCTGTCGAACTCACCCTGACAGCACTGTCCGTATTCTCACCCTGTCGAACTCACCCTGACAGCACTGTCCGTATTCTCACCCTGTCGAACTCACCCTGACAGCACTGTCCGTATTCTCACCCTGTCGAACTCACCCTGACAGCGCTGTCCGTATTCTCACCCTGTCGAACTCACCCTGACAGTACTGTCCGTATTCTCACCCTGTCGAACTCACCCTGACAGCACTGTCCGTATTCTCACCCTGTCGAACTCACCCTGACAGCACTGTCCGTATTCTCACCCTGTCGAACTCACCCTGACAGTACTGTCCGTATTCTCACCCTGTCGAACTCACCCTGACAGCGCTGTCCGTATTCTCACCCTGTCGAACTCACCCTGACAGTACTGTCCGTATTCTCACCCTGTCGAACTCACCCTGACAGCACTGTCCGTATTCTCACCCTGTCGAACTCACCCTGACAGTACTGTCCGTATTCTCACCCTGTCGAACTCACCCTGACAGCACTGTCCGTATTCTCACCCTGTCGAACTCACCCTGACAGCGCTGTCCGTATTCTCACCCTGTCGAACTCACCCTGACAGTACTGTCCGTATTCTCACCCTGTCGAACTCACCCTGACAGCGCTGTCCATCCAGCAGGATGTAGCCGACCCTACACGAGCACCGGTAGCTGCCCGGGATGTTGTCACACTGGTGCTCGCATCTGTGTGCCTCTCCCATACACTCGTCCACGTCCTGGGATCGGCGGCAGAACAGATCGTCATGAAACAGCGACATCACAACTGACATACCATCGGCCCTCACGTGGCGGTGGTAAACACCAAGGAAACGTCGTCATTCGCCCGTTCGTCGAAATGTTTAGGCAAGCGGTTTCTAAAAGCACGACAATTCGCGGAATTTTATGATCAATGGCCACTGACTAGTTCCTTGAACATAATTGATCACATCACCGGACAGCTAGTTACCATTGCTAACACTAATCACTACAGCAAACTGACAGCCTCGAAGTATCGACCTGAAGAGCTCCAATTTAACTCCCAGAACCGGCGACAGGTTCTCTAACCAGCTGCAGCATAGCTCCCCACACCAGCACGGTCCAGTACATAGCTCCCCGTCCCCGTACGGGGACTCGCAGTTGCTACTGTACAGCGACCTTGAGTAAATTGTTCCAGCATCCTCACAGGGAACAACGATAAGCTGTCAGAGGGCACGCACAGAAAACCTCTGCTGCTCTTGTACAGGGACCGGCAGTCGAAATAAATGTTATCGGTTGTTACTGGACAGGACAGACGGCTAGCGTTGGGGTTCGTGTACGATAGCAACTGCGGGTCCCCGTACCTGTGATCTCCCGTCCATACCTGGCAGGTGCGCCCGTCGGCAGCCAGCCGGTACCCGGGGTGACAGGAACAGCGGCGCCCCTCGTCCGTGCTCGTGCACATGTGGTCACAGCCGCCATTGCCGTGCAGACACTTGTCCACCAGAACTGTGTACACGCCTGAGGCAGACGTGGTGTCAGTGGAAATGGGAATGGTGTGTTAGGCCTACGCTAACGGCGGCACAGTGAGGCCAACTCCGAGCAACAATAAGATGCATTGATTATCCGGACAAGGGCCGAATCAATCACACAACTCGAGCGTACCGCGTAGGGTAATAAACAATCAAGGGCTGGAAAGCTAGGCTCCACCTCCAATGACCAAAATTAATTACCTACTCTTGCGACTTTCACTCCCCCACCAACGCGCGAGCCGCGGCCTGTGGCGGCAACTCACTGAAGCAGGTTCTGGCATCGCTGGCCAGCTGATGGTCCGGCAGACAGTGACAGACGAAGGAACCGGCAGTGTTGGTGCACCTCTGGTTACACGGGGACTGCTCAGCGCACTCGTCTATGTCTGCGAAACAGCGGGGATAGGGAGGTCATGCGATCGATCCCTGAGAGAACACACCAGACAAGTCTAATGCTCGTGCATGCCAGCGGGACATGAAGCGACACATGAGTCGGCGCACTCGTAAGTGGATGTGCACCGTAATGGTGCTGTGATATCAGAGCACCCGTCTAAGCCTTCATGACAAGTCAGACATGCAGAGCTACACAATTCCTGGCCTAAAATACCCGTCAGTCTTCCATGATAGGGGGACAGAGACGTCTGTCTATAAACTGAACAAATCAGGACACGACACATCAACGGGAACCGCACTGGTCATCTACATGTAGGTATGCACTACGCATCCTTTCGGGCTTCGGCATTCACTAGCTCACTCACTATCACCCCTATTAGACACCGCGGCTGCTAACGTCTGTTTAATGGGATTCTTGTATCAAAGCCGGTCGCATAAGCTAACCTGTTAACGGCTGCAGCGGCTGTAGTGTGAAATGCAGCATGACGTAAACCAGCGCACGATTACGATGAACAGAACTCATTGGCACTTATCCAGCATTACAACAACCAATCGGACTCTCCCAGCCACAGACCAGTGGCGCCGAGTGACTGGTGAGACCGGAGACGATAATCCACTGCGACGGGACTAGCGCGAGAGCTAGGGGCAAACGAGCACAGCTCCACAGCCGCGCCGGGTGCCGGGGACGCGTCCACATTTTCTGGCACATCTCAGAATCTCGCGACGAGTCTCTGCCAACATCAGCCCTCCAGACATGCGGCTATCCAGCACACTGGACATGTGAATCTGCGACTCTTCGAGAAATGAAAATGGTATACCACACAATGTTGTGCTGCTATGAATGCTCATAATGATCCGTATCAGTACTGGTGAGGAACACCTTCAAAATCTGCCGCTAATTGCTCGTTTTTACGTTGATAATCACGGCCAGTGTGCCACTCCTTTGCATCTCATTCTATTCAGGCTTTCGTCAGCCGCATTGTTTTGTGCTGACGAATAACAAGCAACGGGGGTCGGGACTTCTAGAGGCCGCCGTGACCACCGTACCGAGACGTGCCGTGAGCCGCACAGTGGGCCCTACCAGATACCGCGCGCGCGTCTTCAAACGATGTTTATTTGCCAGCAAAATTAGAGCGCTGTTAAATAAAACGAATTGCATGTTTGCAGAAGCAACAAAACATTAACGTGAGAAGTGGTCTAGCTCTGACCGAGCCTGAGCGCGGAGGCTTTTCACAGCCTGAGCCAGAACGAAATGTGTGCCGCGAAGATCATGGAAGGAGGGCGGTTGATTTTTTAACAAACTCAACCACGCTAAGCAAAAAAAGGTGCTTACTGTTTCAGCCCGTGCATGCACTAGAATGTCATTTCGACTATGCTAAACCTTGAAGCAATGAGTTCCATCAAACGCCACTTTAGCGATGACCTTATGATGCATTATATGCAGGGTACCTATAGCTCGTTAATCTGCACTGCACAGTGCACAGTGCACATGTCCCACCTTCACAGGAGGTGCCGTCGTCGCCGAGCCGGTAGCCGTCGTGACAGGAGCAGCTCGGCCGTCCGTCGTCCCTCGGCGTACACACGTGCTGACAGCCGCCGTTGTTCTGTGAGCACCGGTTCCGCTGGCACGAGCGACCGTCGGCGCCGAGCGAATACCTGCCGGCAGATCAGCCATGAGTTAGTTGTAAGTGCAGGACATAAAAGCGTGCACGTATAAACGGCGTGACATGCGTATTTCAAGCTGATTATATCCAAGTACAGTGAGTGCATCACGCTAAACCGCACCATCTACATCCGTGCTCATCACTGAGACCCAGTGATGGTTGACGATCACTGTAATCCCCAGCAGAGTATGGGTTTGTAACCTGCCGGAAACGGCTCTCCTTCCGAGCTCATTCTCCTCCCTGGATCTGACGATTCACTGTAGCTTGCAGACCTCACTCAGCCGACCACAAGGCCCCATGATGACCCAGGGCTCGCCAGGGGAATTATGTAGACGTCAAGAGTTAGACATGCATCGCAAACAGAAACACCAACAGAAGTTAACCCGAAATTCAAGCAGGGACTCTGACGACACATGTGAGTCATATGAGAGCCCCAACAGGATCTCTCTCCCTCTCCCTCCTTGATGACTCCTCTCATTAGAGTGGTGAATGGTGATATCACTGACCCGCTCCCCTCGGAGGCCACGCTTAGCAGCGTGCTCTCATTGAGACTCGGGTTGGGGAGTACTCCCGCCCCTCGGCCGTCACTGAGCAGCCAGAGACCGCCGTGACACGGTGTCGAGTTCTGGGTCTCTCGGGTGACGATGATACTACAGTCGGAACCGCTGTCAATCAGAGTAGCGACCCGTGCTGACAGGTACCGAGCTGAGGGCCACCCGAGACGACATTCGATATTTCGTCGGCCGAGCGTGAAAGAAAAACCAAAACGCCTTGCTGCAGTGTTCAACACGTGTCAGCTCTGCTTTCATAGGGTCCATGCGAAATAAAAATGACGTTTGTCTATTTATGTGTTGCCTACTTTATTCTCATCTTTTTTAGTCTACTGTCAAAGTCCCTGGTGAGAGCGAAATAGTTTTTTTTCGATGACTGCAATGACTTCACTTTGGTATAAGTTTTGTTTCAACCTTTCAGTTTATCACGTAGGTAAGTAACCGCGTAATGCTAATTTTCAGCGGTTTTAGGTATGGTATGTCCGATTCAAAAATTCACTCAGAAAGTCCGTGCCTGCTGGCTGCAGTGCACACTACATAGTGCATACCTACATCCGTTTAAATTGGCGGGCGCATTACTAAGTGCGAGTGTTACCCAGTACAACAATGACATGCGTGTATTAACGTAATTTGTATTCACGCATAGGAAAATATAATTACGAGCGAGCGAGCGCAGCGAGCGAAGCGAAGTCTTTTCAATATAACGGAAAAATCTCAGTATGAGCGGCCTGGCCTGACGCTTTTGAGAGGCTTATATCTCAGCAACCGCTGGACCGATTGGCCTGCGGTCTTTTTTGCCGGGTAGCCCCATCCCTTCTACCCCGTAATTGACCACTTTTGATACATCTCAGTGACCGTCGTGGCACGTGCCACGTGAAAAGTCAAGGATGTTCAAGCAGTTTTGCAAAAGTAGTGATTTTGAGAGGCCCATATCTCAGCAGCGGCTTGAGCGATTGTCTTCCGGTAATTTTTATAGGGTAGCTGCATCCCTTCTTCCAAAGGTCGGATACTCTTGATCTATGTGAGTGACCCCCACTGCACGTGCAAAATACAAAAAGAAGAGGTGCCAAATTTGTTCCCATTTCAGTAACTCTAATTACTGGGGCGATTTCGCTGAAACTTGGCATACAGATAGGCACCCACCAGGCAATGCATTCCCATGTGTTGCAGTTAGGGCGCTACTGCACGTGCGCACGTACAGGGGGCGTTTCCAGATCTCGAGAACGGCTGGGCCGATTGCGCTCAAATTTGGTACATGGTAGGGGACCGGTTTGTAGGGTGCCGTGCAAAAGTCATTTTGGACCCCGTTTGCACGTGCGCACGTGCAGAATGCCGCTTCCAGATCTCAGGAACGGCTGGGCCGATTGCGTTCAAATTTGGCACACCGCTAGCGACCGGTTAGAAGGGTGCTTTGCACAAGCCCCGTTGGAAGTACCCTCTCGCCCTTCCGCACGTGCAGGGCTCACTATCTCGCTCGCTCGTTCTTCGCCCAAAAGGCGTTTTACTGGTATTAGGTAAATGTAATACCTATGCATTCCTAACATAATATTAACATGTGGACACACAGCGCCTTACCCGAGGTGACAGCGGCACTCGACCGTGCCCGACGAGTCGTCACAGATGTGGGCACACCCGGCGTTGTTGTTCAAACACTGACTCGCCCCTGCAATCACAGATACGGTTAGTGCCATCAAAAGCTGCAAGAACGTCAAGTAGTTTATGCCAAGGTCATACGGAAGCTCACATACGAGAAATGTGGCTTACATAACTTTTGTGCCGTCGTTGCTACCCAAAAGGCCACTTAACTTTACACAGCAGGCAGTTGACTAACACCCGTGTGTACATTGTGCAGAGGCCTTAAATCGTGTAGTTTACACCAGTACCAGACAGGTTGAGGGCTCCTAAAAGCAGGCTGCACGATGTCTTGGCGGACTCAATTGGCAAATCACAGATGATGCATTGTCGGACAGCCAATCACAGACGACATATTGTTGGACGGCTAAACTGAGGCACGGCACTGGTGGTGATTGGGCCCATGGTGCGGAGGGGCGAGGTCACTGCTCATCGCCAGACGCCATGGGCGACTCACTGATCAGGGAGCAAGTGCCGTGCATCAATTGATTTTGGTGCACAACAACCACACAAAAAAACTTGTGTGCATTTTAACGGTATAAGCTGAGGTACCGCCACATTAATCAACAACTCTCCCAATACATGTTAGTGCCTAATGTTGCCGTATCATTCACTTATCATTCATTCATTCATTCATTCATTCATTCATTCATTCATTCATTCATTCATTCATTCATTCGGCAATTTTAATTTTTGTTAGCTTTTAGGTACCTATATCGTCTTATTTTCGGTGAAAAATTAAACCGTTATAAGTTTTTTTTCTACCTGCTAAAAAATCATTTAATTATGAAATAGGTATTCTCGACGATTGTTACGCGGACATAACTTTTGGCCGACGACATTTGTCATCGATGGTGGGTCAGACGCCCACCTAACGCCACTCGGCGTCAGCGCCAGGCTATCAGAGTCAGCCATCAGCTTGTAACTGCACACTGCTGAGACCCGCAGTCTCTCCAGTCCATCAATCCGATTCCGTCCGTCGTTTCCATCCTCAGGACATTCAAATATTTCTCCTCCACACCGCAACCCTCGGCCTCGGCCCGGGCTGGACAGGCAACTTCATCTCATGCGGGCTGCTCCCTTGTAGCGGCACCGCTGCTCCCAAGAGAGCACACCCGCAGCCGGGTGCAGAGAGTACTTAGGGGGCTGGTCACTGGTCAGCCTGTCCTTATATAGGAACGGGTGACTCACTAGGTTGCCTGCCCAGACCAGTGTCTCCCGCATAATTCCTATCATTCTTCCGGCTCTGAAATGGTCTTGTCAGACCAAAAGGGCCTAACCCAACACAACAAATAAAACAAACTCCAGCCCATGCGTCCAGCCGAAACTCACTGCAGGCTGAGGACACCATGGAAGTTATTTGATATTCACCCTCCCAGCTGCGAAGGGTTGGCGAGACGCAATGGAGCTCATGAAACTCCCGTAATCCCTCCTAAACCCGTTACTCCCGTAACGCGACGTTACTCCGTAATTTACTAAGCGCCTGAACATGAGCGCTAATTTTTCAGCGATGGGAGGCAGCCACGTTCTCATCTACAAACTTCGTGCCTCACTCTGCTAATCCATGCGTTAGCGCACGTGAACGTGCTGAGCTTTTTTGGCACGTACTCGTACTATAAGTCCATAAGCCAGCGTTAAGCTCTCCAACACCGGAGGAAGTTATAACTCCTATCGCTGTGAGCAGCTGTTGGTCGTATGATGTCTCTGGTGCCCGGGATCACGACACATCAGTACGATAGAGCTGCAGGTTGGCATGGCTGGCGGACTGCAGCCGACATGAATGGCTCGTCGGCAGCTGGCAGAGGACCAGAACGGCGTGCACGTCCGCCGGCCGCCCTGCCGCTGGGGGTGACACAGGGTATCGGTGGCCCGGGCCGGTTACGAGCCCGGCACGGCGGTTACCGTTTAGAGTTGACTGTTGAGACACCTATACCGAGCGTCGCTTCGACGTTTATTACGATGAACCATCCCGTTTTGCCTCAGCATCTCCTTGTGCCAAAGTGTACAATGCGTGCAGTCCACTGATCCATTGCCACTCGATAGGGAAATTCTCTATGAGTTTTCCCACTCGATGGGAAAAACTCGATGAGATTTTGATTAATGGCCTGGAATAGATAATAACACGAAATGCAACATTTCCCTTGATGCTGAAAATCTTAACAGGTATAACCTTGCAAGTGAGCATTCCTGACTAAGGCAATCTGCCGGCAGGGACGGTGATCCCGTTTCAGGGTGAGGACCGAGAACAGGGATAAAGGCCATCTAAAATCCGTTTCCCTTGCATACGATTACTAGTGCATTAACCCGCGACCTGGTGGGGGGGCTATTTTTTGCCCCCCCTCCAGACTTTTCGATATATCTCCAGAACCGCTGCGCCGATCGTCACCAAACTTTCAGTACCCTCCCGGACATCAATTTTACACATTGTGACCAAAAATTTTTCCAAAAGCTATGATAGGTTGGCCGGAAATGACGTCAGAGTGACGTCATGTTCTGCCGTTTTCGACCCAAAAAAGGGTTTCGTGGGAAGAGCTGTCAGGCCTATAGCTTTGCAAATAAAGAAAAATGATAATGTCATAAAAGCTGTAGAATTGACAGGGCTACAAAACTGCTATCTCGGATTTTTGAAATTTTTTGATTTTGACCCCAAAAAATCAAAAAATAGATTTTTTGGATATAATAGTCGAAAAATCCAAAAAGTTTTTTGAATTTCGCAAAAACCGGAATATATGTGATAGTCCTTACCTCCTTCCATCCACATACCAAATTTTAGATTGATACCTCTTTTTTTGGCGAAGTTATAGCGAAGAAACTGTTCAAAATTGATGACGTCAAATTTTCAAACTCAATTTTTAGCAATTCTAGACCCCGTAGCGCAAAACAAAGACCACCATTAGACTCCCCGTGACGAGCTGCATCGAATCAATACCCATTTTATGCAAAAATATCAACTTTGAAATTTGACCTTTTTTGACCTGACCTTGACCTGACCTCCACCAGAAAGTGACCTAAACCGTACCTGATGGTCTTATAACCAACACCATTAAGTTGGAAATGAAAAACTGGCCATAAAACATGCATCGCACAACCTTAGTAAAGTTGGGTTCATGTGGTGACCCTTGGTGACCTTTGGTGACCTGACCTGTGACCTGACCTGGTATGACCAGTGACCTCTAATAGCAACATATGTACTAGACAACTGACGCCTTATCGCTGATTTTCGACAAAATGCGTTTTACTCGGTGTTATAGCGCTTTCCCTAGAAGCCCCGTGAACGGTGAAACATTTTATCTTTGACCTGACCTGTGACGTCATCGGTGAACCCGAGGTCAATGAAATTTGGTTTCCTGCAACAAATTTGACAGGGCTATCGAACGCCGTTTGAATTTTGCGGATCCGTCCAGTAGTTTCGGAGATACGTGGGGGGGGGGGCAAAAAAATAACCCCCCACCAGGTCGCGTTATAAACAGACCCCACCAGGGCGCGGGCTAACCCTCGCCCGCACATGCCATTTTCCCATCCTAGAACGCACATGGGGGGGGGGGTTGCCACCCCCCGCGCCATGTCGTTCCTGTTGAAGATAGAGCTTAGCGGTAAGGATCATAAAGATTTTTTGGGAAGAGACCAATCCAATGGTACCCAGTTTTACCTTCTCAGGTCAGTCATTGACCTTCCAGGTCAGGTCAAACTAAAAAATATTGCTGTTTTGGGTCACCGTTGGATATCAATTGCGCTGCTTATCGTATACCGATGACGATGCCGTTTTCTGGTGCCAAGCCAGCTAGAGCCTCTTTGTCACACTACCCGACCAGGTTTTTGCTGCTGAGGTCATTTCAGGTCAAGTTAGGTCAAGGTCAATGATATGTGTTTGTATGTCTGTGTGTGACTGTGTGTATACTGATGTGTGCAACGGTTGTTTATGTGTCCATATTACATGAAATCATGATCTGAGAAGCTTTTACCAAAAATGCAGTCAAAAAAACTTCACAAAAAGTAAATTCAGCTTGCCTAAAACGCAATTATCTTAGATGACCTAGGTTGACCTTGACCCTGACCTTGACATCTGTACATCGTCGAACAACATGTTCCATGATAGGTGGGAGGTAAGACTGGCAAAAAAGGCCGAAATCAGGGTGTCAAAACTAAAAGCTCACAAGGCCCATAGCCAACGCAAAATGTTGAGAATTGGCCATTTGGGTCATGACATGACCTGAAAAACAAGGTCATATCTCCGAAACCAAAAACCACAGAAACTTGAAATTTTCAGTGGACATCAAGAAAGGATAGAGGAGTAGCTATACGAAAAATCAGCTTTCTAGCTCTAAAAATGTTGAGTGCAGAGCAGAAAGACTACCTGGGGGGGGGGGGGTGGCACCCCCCCATGTGCGGGCGAGGGTTAAAACAAGGGATTTATTTTCTAAGCTGAACAAATCAACCCAACCCAGCCGGAACTTGTATTCGCCAGTGACCATAAACGTACCACTTTGTCATCTCGCCCACAAAGTATCACCGTGCTTTTATACGTTCTGCTCAATTAAGAATGACATATTCTTGGGATGCATGATTTTTTTCGTCACTAACAAAAGCATTTAGACACCCATTATATGGTCCTGAAGCATTTAACGCGATTATGGACGCACGAACGAACATCTATGATCTTATAGGCCACAAATGTTGCGCTATTATCTGCAGAAGTCCGGAGCCGAGTTGTAAATGAGCTATTTAGCATTTCAAGGGAAGCAGTTGGACCAAGTTTGCTCAGACACCAAACACGACATGGGACCTGCGATCGCACACCCATTCCGCCTCCCCTCACCACCGACCGAGCGATAAGCCGACTGACGAGTGGTTTCAATGAACTGACCAAAGGCTGTGGGTGAGTCAGAGGAGAAATGTCGAGTGGTACCCCGAGAGCACTAAAATATAAAAGATACGCGAGTATTTAATGAGCGATCGGTGAGAAAGTTAGTGAGTGAGTGAGTGAGCAGAGCGGAGCGAGTGAAGAAACCGATAAAAGTGAGAGATCGATCCGAGGGGTGCGAGCGAGCGAATGAGAAATGCCAGTGCGTGAGCCGAAATGAGTTAACGATTGAGCCAAAAGCAGCAAGTGATTGAGCCGGTCAAGGTCAAGACAGAGTGCTCTGTGGGTGTTGGTGACGTCACAGTCGCCCTCAGTGGCCATGGTCATTGATAAACGGCGATGAGTCAGCGACCGTGGCCCAGTAAAGCTGCCCGACGACAGCCCACATCTGACCGTGTTTACAGTTTACACACCGGCGCCGTCTCTGGTGGCGCATTTCCGCCCGATCGCTGGGGCGGGGGAGGGGGGCTGATGACTCCCCTCTGAGCTGGTGACTGGTGGGTGGTGGCTGTTTACTGCGTCACCACCCCCGTCAGGGGACCATTACCGCTCACAGCAGGCGGGGCAGCAGGTGGGCGCGGGGACGACTTATGGCATAGCATATTGGTGAGCGATTGGCTACGGAAAAGACACCGAACAACTAAAATGCGAGAAAAGAAAAAAGTTCATATCATGCTTAGACTTGAAAGACAGCATGGGGTGATATTGAACATGACGGTGAGATTGAAATGGGAGAGGCGGGTGGCGAAAACCTTTTGAAGTCGATTATCTTATTCTTCATGCAACTGTCCTTGTAGTTGCTACGGACTGTCCACCAATGCTCCCCCCGCGGCGATGCTGTACCGCATGGCAACTTTGCAGCGATAACGCGTCGTATATACGTGAACCACTTTGCCTCGCAATCACACAATAATTGAAAGACCGATAAACCAATAGAATGAAATTGAATCCATCGTCTGTACTGCAGTGAGTGTCCCGAACGCTGACCATGCAACGTACCGTGTGTTGACTGTTGTGTGCTGACTCAGTAGTCAGTACCAAACACTCAACACTCAACAAGCTCGATAGTGCCGCACAGTGCACAGGGATTAGATATGTAGTAGTTTTCTTGTTGGCAACGGAGTCCACTGACCCACACAGCAGACAACGGCACCTGTTCCTGTCCCGCTCTTGTCCCCGACTGTCCAGATAACTAACCGACCTCCGTCCACTTGCTCTCGCTCTCTCTCTCTCTCTCTCTCTCTCTCTCTCTCTCTCTCTCTCTCTCTCTCTCTCTCTCTCTCTCTCTCTCTCTCTCTCTCTCTCTCTCTCGTGTGTCCGGCACTCACCCACACAGCGGCGCCCGTCCCTGCCCAACTGCAGGTTGTCCGGACAGGTACACAGGAAACTGCCGGGCGTGTTCAGACACTGGTGTGAGCAGCCGCCGTTGTCGCGGCTACACTCGTTCCAGTCTGAAACACGAAGCGTCACTGGGTCATATGGGAGAACTACATCAGGCAAGGACAGACTTATTCACGCATAATACCCAACGGATCACGTATGAGCGAATGTGCATTTAGGGGAGAACGGGGTGATTTGGCCGCCTTTTTGTAAAAACGATATTTTGAGAAAACCAGTGCGCGTTTGGTCGATTTCTCCATGGAGTGGTGTGGGGCGTTCAATTGTTGTTCCGGCCTATTACTTGCATCATGCCGGGACATCTCGTTTCGGTAGTAATTAACCGTTCTTTCAAAGACTGCACGGCGGCCAAATGACCCCGGTACCGGGGTCATTTGGCCGGGGGAGTGGGGTCATTTGGCCGGGCATGTGATTCAGAGATATACCCATTACAGAGCTGAGACAACCTGAAATATTGACACCCAAGATTGTGCTTAACTCATGAATTCTGGATTGACTCGACGCATGACTGATGTGACGATCCAGACGCCCCAATGCTGACACAAATGATGAGCATCGTGACTCATCTTTGATTCGCCTGAAATCCTTAATTTTTCCAAAGACTAGGCTTACACTCGATTCATTTGAATCAGTGCAAGTGAGGGGCCACATTTGATTTACGGGCTTACGACTCATGAGTTGAGCACTGCCCAGTGATAACAACAGCCAACTGTAATGGCTGCCAAATCGTAGATTGCCTTAGACGACAATCACACTGCAAAAAAGTCATTTGTGCACGAGTTGTTTGTTTATTTCAAACTCTGTCGTAAACATGAAATAAAAACGATTCCAGCAGGCCCCGTCTTCGACCCAGCACTTAACACGCGCACCGACGGGGGGGGGCGGATATCCGCCCCCCCCCCGTCGGAGTTATTGGCGGCATGAACACATGTCCAGTCATCACTGCGCTTCACTGTTTTTCACCTTTGCGCCCCTGTTTCTTCGACGGTCCAGCTCCCGACGCTCGATGGTTCGACGGTCCAGCTTGTGGACCCCGCTTTTTGCTCCTCGCCATACGTGCCTGTTGCTCGCCGTCCAAAGCCGTCCGCTCCGGGCTGTTAGTCATGATTTTAGAACGCCCTTTCTTCCGACCGGCTTTTCGAACGTTGATGCGCAGCTGCGGAAGTGGTCGGATGGACTCTGGGCTTCCGACAAGCAACTAAGACACGGTGACAGCTGGAGCACGGCCGCGGCAGGTGCAGCCGGAGCACGGCCGGCCCCGGGGCTGGCGGCTGGAGCACAGCCGCGGCAGGCGGCTGGAGCACGGCCGGGGCCGCGGCGTGCTGATCTGCCGTCGCTGGGGCGACGACCGGTGCGAAGACCGCCGTCGGCGCAGTCTTCGTCGTCGAAGATATCCCGGTTGAGCGGCGATATCCCGGCTGCTTCGAATCCCTTAAGGATGTTCTTCCACGTGAAGGTGGCGTCTTAGGCACGACGAAAAATCGGCGCCACCTGGTAGAGGTCGATGTGACGTCCCGGGTTCACCATCTGCCGCCGGGTGCCGAAAGCCAATCAGCGGACACCTTGGTTAGGTCGTCCCTTGCATTTAGACTGCGCCGCATTACCATCCTCAGTCGCAGAACTTAGCCAGCGCAGCGCGTCGCTCGCAGACTAGGCAAAAAATCAACGGAGTCGCTGGGCGGCCAATTCGCCCCGTATGGGGCGGCCAACTTACCCCAATATGACATTTTTAGGAAAAGGGGTCCGCAGAAAAGCAAAAATTGTTACTTAAACTTGCAAAAGGGTCAGACAGCTCCCTGAATTACCAGATTGTTCTACCAATAGAGTTAAAATTTTGATTTCACCCAAATAAGGGACACCATGCAACTTTTCGTAAAGAAGAAAAAGTTACGTTTTTTAGCCAAAATTCAAATATCGTTGGCTTTACAAAAAACTGGGCGTCGCCGAGTTTCCTTAGTTTCTTTCCAAAGTAGTTCTTATGACGGCGGATGAAGTCATATTAAAAAATAATCGCTCGGGACCGTCAAAACGCGTAGGCATGGGGCGGCCAAAGTGACCCGGGCGGCCAAATGACCCCGCTCTCCCCTACTACTGGCGAAAAGTTATCACAATTTTACAGACAAATGTGTAAATTTGCTCATAATTTGCACAGACAAATGTTCCGTACTCGAGAGACGCTGTTTTCTTTTCGATTTACATAATGCATGATGCATTATAACGAAATCGCATTGACACCACCACACATTTCACACCGAGAAAGGCGAGACCTCCCGGAACGTTATATGCACATTGAACAGACCACACAATGAGAGGTGAAAGCCCCTGGATAAATCATCCCACACTCTTCTCTAAAGAAGTCCCGCCGCCGTCTGCTGAATCGTGTACATATGTAAGCACACGCACACAGTTTTCAAACAAACAAACATGAATACACATTGCCTCCCACGCCGTGAGACCCTGCTTTGTCAGCACCGCGAAAACAACAGTGATTGACACCCACCGCCAGAGATCTAAGGAAAAATCGTCTCTGATGCTTGGATAAGTGGCTCATGAAAATCGGGAACGCCGGTATAAAACCCATCACCCGATCAGATAAAACCGCTTTATTCTAAGCTCCTGGCCGGCCGCATCTCAGAGCTCCAGCCCCGGCGGTGTAACTGCCGGTTTACGTGCAGACACCCTCCGTCAGCCGTCAACTTAGCACTCCCCACAGAAGCACTACAATGTATCCGCCGCTATCTGCACATCTCTGCTCGGCGGCTTGTCGTGCCGCTGCGCCATATCTCGCCTCACACAGGAGCCGGCCCGCGACCGTCTGACGAAGCGCCCACGTCGCGCCGTCAATCGCGCGTCCGCCGCCGAGCCGGCCGAGCGCCATATACGCCGCCAGCCGGCGACCAGCTTCCATCAGCTCAGCCGCGGCCGCCGCGCCGCGCCGGCAGGTGCTTCGTGCCGATAGCCGTGCCAATCAGCCTGCAAATACAGCACGTCCGGCGTGCTCCGCCGCGGCCACGGCAGCACGGCTACGCCCCGAGCACGGCCGGGGTACGGCGCCATCTCGGGCGGCGGCTCATCGTGAAGTCAGACGCGCTTATTTCATTGTAAGGTGACCCTGGCGCCGGCGGTATCGGCGGGGTGCGGCGGCGGACAGGGCGCGGGCGGCCGCAGCCCGGGTGGAAGTGCTCACAGCCAACTCCACCCTGGCATCGCGTCCCATCCCTGACCATGAGGGCTGATCCCATCCGGCGCCCACCATAATTAAAAACTTTGTGATCTCATCAGACGTCTGGTGCCACAATCAGACGTTATACGCCCAGTGAAGTCGCGTCTCAAATCCGTCAGCCCAAGCCAGCTAAGACCAGACGCTTCTGAGACCCATCAACATCGGTATCGTCTGAGCCACTTGCTAGAAGCGAATTTTTCCCAGATGTAGCGCACATTTCAGTTAAATGACTTTTTGTCTCGTTGTTCAACATTTATTACTGTAACCACACGAAACCGTATAAAATCATCAGTTTAGAAATTTGGCGTGACTACAAGTTCATCGCCGACACCTAGCATCGCACCAAATCTCAGGCGTGCAGCTAATTACACCTCCCCGCACAACTCCACCATCCTAGCCGCTGATGCAGTGCACGCAGCAGGACGTGTCGCAGTAAACGCCTGAAACTAGGCTGCACCGCATAGCCTCGGACCAACTATGACGCCTGAAGTGATGCTGTACCGCAATACCTGAAAACGACAACACTGTTTTTCCACTGCACTGAACCAGGTATAAAAGGCTTAAAGCTACGGCACTTTTGGGAATGCTTCGTTTCTGCTCTTGATTGATGTTAAGCTAGTCTACACACCAAAACGCCATCCATTTTTTCCTAAGAATTGTGCACCAAGCGAATGAAAACTTATGAAACGACGTGGCCAAACATACCACGAAACCATGATCTCTATGGTAGTTATATCACCCATTACTACAGAATACGGTTAATACGGTATCATCACTTCCATTTTACGCACTTGATCAGAGCTCAAATGGCGCAACGTTAAAAAGTTGCTGCATTTTTCTAACAACTGCATATTTCATTTTAAGTTCACTTGCACTATGCTAGAAAAATACCATTGCTTACATACTTCAACACTTACAAAAAAAAAAACACACACACACACAAATCCTAAATATAACACGCACACTCACTACAGAAAAAAAAAACAGTTGGGTGATGTTTGGGACCTACCTAAATATGTACTTAGGGGAGAGAGGTCATATTGCACCATGTTCTTAAATGCGCCACACCTTCCTCCTGCCCAAAATTCGATTCGAACGAATACTCAAATGTGTGCATTTACTTTACCACCAATAACTCGCTCTTATTGCGGTCCACGGGGGCAGGTGAGGTGTCTCAGCTTTCTCGCAGACCATTTTTTGTGATTTCCTCTATTTTCTTACGCGAAACAGTCTATTTTGACCTTTGCTAGTGTCATGGTTTATCTTAGAGATAGTGATTCAACTAATAATCATTGTTAATTGCTCGTTTAATGGTAGTTTTGAAAGTTTATCACCACCGTGGCTTCGCTGTCGTCGCCATATTTGAAGCTCATGAAAAATGTGTTCCATTCGTAATTGCGCCCACCCTATTTGCGCCCTATTCTTCAACCCAGAGAAACAGCATCTGGTGGTTGGGACACATTTCATTGAACACTTTGATTATTAGAGCGCTCACCTTACCATTACCTTAGCCTTCACAGCATAAATGGTTAATGGGCTGACACGTTCAAATAGGCTACTTATTTAGGGGGCAAACCGTTGTTTTTAATAGGGCGCTTTTACATGAGAGGCATGGGCGCTTTTTGATGGGGGAGTCCGTAAATGCGCCCTTTGCAGATGTGCCGGAAAGCTTTTCTCTTGTTAATTTTTCTGGGTGTGATACAAATTGGGAGTTGTTATTTGATGCCAAAATAACTGAGGTACAATTTGAGATATCATCAAACATGACAGCTGGTCAACTTTAGCCGCAATAGGCCGATATCCTTAAGGTGGCGCAATATGACCTCTCTC